GATCTGAGCAAGTAGTTCTTTATATCTTTGTTGCTACTGAATAAGATAATAACCTAATGACACATCTGTCCTGTTTAAAAAAGATAACCTTTGGAGAGCTGGGTTTTAGGTGTTTTATATTCATACAATTAATCATAATTCAGTTAGCAAAAATCAAGGCATGTGCCATTGCCCTTGATATTGAGCCAAGTTCCATAGCTTGTTACCAAGTTTCTCTTGGTTGTCTGGTTAGTTTTTTAGTTCTAATGGAGGGCTTAAATACTTCACTACTTGCATTCTTCTCAATTCTTAAAAATTGTTGATCTTTCTTGAAAACTTAGCAAAATAAATGAAAATCAATACCCCTATTAAAAGTGTATGGAGGAGGCTGGTGTTATGGTGTATTGTGTAAAAATACTGCCTGCGACATGGGCATCCCATATGGGTGTGGGTTTGTTTCCCGACAGCTCCACTTCCAGTCCAGCTTTCTGCTGATGTGCCTGGGAAAGCAGTAGAGCATGGCCCAAATACTTGGGCCCCAGCACTCCCATGGGAGACCCAGATGATGCCCCTGGCTTTGACCTGACCCAGCCCTGGCTGTTGTAGTCATTTGGGAAGTGAACCAGCCAGTGGACATTCTGTCTCTGTCTCTCCCTTTCTCTAACTCTGCCTTTCAAATCTTTCTCTTTTTTTAAACAGATTTAAACTCAATTACTTGCTTAAATATGTAATTCAAGAGTGTAATTATACTGTAGTATTCAATAGAAAAAAATTGGATAATGACAAATCTGGGCAGATGGGAGGCATCTTACATCACTTAGTTTTCCTTGAGAAAATAGAGAAGTATTTAAGTCAAGAAGACTGGAGTTTTGCTAGTGCATTTTGTATTTTGCTTAGTATATTAAACTGATTTTTCTATTTGTATTTTCAGTTCTTACAAATGAGAAACTTCTGTAGGGAAGGGATATCCTTGGTTTAATTAGGATGTTTCTTTAGTCCTGCTTTATACTGGGAGTTCAGAAGTTTTAACTGGGGTAGGTGTTTTTGCTCAGTGGGTTAGTGGGTTGGTCACTGCTTGGGACAACTGCCTTCCATATCAGAATGCCTGGGACAGAGTCGCACCTCAGCCTGTAATCCAGCTTCTACTAATGTGCACCCTGGGAGGCAGCACATGGTGGACCAAGTAGGTGGCCCCCTGCCACCCACATGGGAGACCAGGATGGAGCTCCTGGTTCCTAGTTTTAGCCTGGCTCAGCTTTGGATATTTTGGATATTTGGGAGTGAACCTGCAGATGGAAGCTCATTTGCTTGCTCACTAGCACTCTCTCTCTCTCTGCCTTTTAAATAGATAATTAAGTTTAAAAATATTGACTGAAGGACTAAATTAAAATTGTTGCCTCATCTTTTGTCAATGAATATTCAAAGAGAAGCATGATTCTAGGTCTAAAAATGAGAAACATGTGGAAATCAGAATTTTAGATGTATAATGAAAGTGACTTTTACCAAGGCACTCTGCCAATATTCCTTCAAAATAATTAGCAGGCAAATTGGATTTCATATTGCATGCCAAAAATGGTTGCTGTATAGATGATTATTAGTGCGTAGGTGGTGTTTATGTGGATGCACAGATGTGTTCAGAAACCCTTGATCTATGTGGCCCTGTGAACAACCCAGCCTGTATTCACAGCTGAATTACATTTCATTGCTCCATTATCCTGTGCCACAACTGCAGCTCTCCTTTTTGAACAGGTGTACCAATTTATCCAGAGAAAATTATCTTTTTGAGAAAACAGCTTAATGAATTATTTAACATTTGCAATCAGTAACCTCAATGAACTTTTTAAACAGAGGATATAGATTTCCTGGTTAGCCATGAAATTAAAATTTCACGAGGTGATTAAGGTATGAATTATTTTTGAAAATGAAGAGCTCAGAGATACAATGCCTTTCTAGTTTGAGTTACCAATCACAAAGGACTTAGTGAATAAAATTATGCGAGTGATTTTTTTTGTTTTGAGAAATGGGGAAGAGGAGAGAGATCATTTTTTTCATCTGGCAAAGTTCTTAACCAGTCACTGAATGAATAGAACTATGATTCTCTTTCCTGTGTGATACTTTGTTATACACATGAAAATAACTGCATATAGGCATAACTGTCAATTTTTAGAGGAATGCTAGTAATTTTCCTTCTGGATGTATTTCTATAACAAGCAGAAAAATGAGGAAAGGTCTGAATTCTTATGAAAGTTTCTGAGTTTAATGTGGATGTCTTCTAATAGATGTTGGAAATCTAAATCTTTCTTCTTTTTTATTCATCTTAAATACGAACACTATCACCAAATGTCTTGGTTACCTGTTTAGAAAACAAGGTTCATTGTGGAGACAGTAGTTATTCTTCAGGGAGACTGAATGGGGGTAGTAGTAAAAAACCCTTGATTTAATGTCAAGGAAGTTTGGACTGCCAGCTCCATCATTTTCTAGCTATGTGAACTGTGGCAAATAAACTAATCTCTCTGTCCCACTTTACCCATCTGGAAACTGCCTCAAATGCCAGGTATTTAATAGGAAGGAAAAGTTCATTCCATTCTAGCTTTCTTTTTCCTTTTCAGATTTTAACTGTAGTTTAGAACAAAACACAAACAAGATTCCTCTCAAGTAAAGAAAGCCACTTGATTTCCTTAACTCCAAGGTATCTGTAGTTGGGGAATAGTTCTTCTGCAGAGAGTTAGTATATTGCTGTTAAATAAGTCACACCATGGATGCACAGATGGGCAGAATTCTCGTGTAATTTACAGATAAGTTTCCACCTAAAATGAATCTTGATTTAGCTGCTCACTTTTCTTTTACCCCATTTAACTCATTAACCCAGATGGTCACATTATCAGTAGAAAAGGGATGGTAGGGTTGAGACAAGAATCATAGAGCATGAAGAAAACTTCAGGACAGTCAGAATCCTGTGGTGAGGCGTGCCTCTGCAGGGATATGAAAGCGTAACACTTTCATTACCTCTTTATAAAGTGGAAAGCTTCCTTTTACTTATCTTTCTCTTCCTTTATGGGTAGAAGGGAAGGACTTCACCTTTCACTGCCTCTAATTTTAGTCTTCCATCTGATCATTTCAACTTTGGGTATTTCTGCTGCAGTGGAAGAAATATATCTAACTTCATTCTAGGTCCAGCAGGTCTAGCATCCATTTGGCAGGTGTAGTGGAATGGAAATCACTATTGGATGAAAGAAAAGGGATAATGTTTAGACATGGGCCTTGGACAGTAACCAGGCATTGGCATGATGCCACTAGAGCTACTGACCAAGAGAAGGGATCCAATTTGAAATGCCTAGCAAGAAACCTCCCCACTTAAGAGGGGCCAGCATGACAGATGGCTGCAGGCTTCCTGTGGGATATGACTTTTTTTTTCCTTGTCACCTGAGGCTCTTTTCAGATTGAGACTTGGCAATGACTCCTTTTCTCTGTTTCTTTCCTGTTACCCTCCTCTTCCTTCCTTAACACTTGCTTAACATGTTAGAAGTTGTCAGGGCACTTTAGATTTAAAGTGTCTAGAAATTTGTATTTCTTCAACCAATGAGTAAGATTATGCAAAATCAATATATTTTAATAATTTTCTTCAAAATCTTAGATCTCTTTTTCACTCCCTTCACTTTCAGACTTCATCATTTTTTTCTTGAATTCTTTTTTTCCCTTTCTTTAAACAAATTTAAGGTATACAAATTTCATGTATGTCCTATAAATGGATTCAAGAACACAGTGATGCTTTCCACCCTACCCCCTCTCCTCCCTACACTCCCACCCTTCTTCCTCGTCCCTCTCCTGTTCCCATTCTTAACTTTTACAAAGGTCTCTTTTCAGTTAACTTTATACTTAAAAGATTAATCCTACACTAAGTAAAGAGTTCAACAAAAAGTGTGAAGAAAAAACACTGTTCCTCAACAGTCAGGACAAGTGCTATAAACAAACATTGAATCTCAAAATCTCAATTTCACTCCTATAGATTACCTTTTAGGTACTCTATTAGTTACCACAGGTCAGGGGAAACATATGGTATCTTTTTGAGACTGGCTTATCTCACTAAGTATAATGGTTTACAATTGCATCCATGTTGTTATCTGCAATCACTTTATGGAGTATGTCTTATATACAAATTTTCCTTCAGACCTGGATTTTCTTTTTTTTTTAAAGTACTTATTTACTTATTTGAAAAGCAGAGATACGGGGTGGGAGGAAGAGGAAGAGGAAGAGGAAGAGGGAGATGGAGAGGGAGTGGGGGAAGGAGATACCTTCTATTCACTGCTTTGCTTTTCAAACCACTGCAATGGCTGGGGCTGGGTTAGGCTGAAGCCAGAAGCTTCATCCAATTCTCCCATGTGGGTGCAGAGTCCCAAGGACTTGAGCCATGCTAGCTGCGTTCCCAGGTATATTAGCAGGGAGCTGGAACAGCCAAGACTGGAACTGGCACCCATGTGGAACACCAGCATTGCAGACAGAGGCTCAACCTTCTATGCTGCAGAGATGGCACTTGGATTTTCTTTCTTTCTTGTCCTCCTGTCACCTCTTTGCTATCTCTGTCTCCACGTTCCTGTCTAAAATCTGAGAGCATGTATTTTTTGTGAAGTACAATAGGCCTGAGTTCCAATCCAGACTGACATGTCCTGGCTTGTGACTTACACAGTTCCTTTTTCTCTCCCAACCTCATTTTACTAGACTCTACCTCTTGAGTTTGTGATGGGAACAGAAATAAGCTAGTGATCTGATTCCTGGATAGGGCCATGCTGGAGTAAATCAGAGATAAAGACAAATACATTCCATGATTAGAGAAACTTGGGAAGGACTTCCAGTCTTAGAGCATTTGTATTCAAGGAGAGCAAGAGTGGTAGTCCTGCTGAGTTTAGCACATTTAAGTTAGGGTCCTGACACTTAATGATGAGACTACACTTGCACACATCTCTCTCTTAAAAGACCTGCTCTGTCTTCCAAAGCAACATTAATCGGCTGCTGCTTTTTTCCAGTTTGAACTTCAGTGGATGCTGATTCATTGTGACCCCCTGCGGCCCAGGAGAGAAACTTGCCATGAGCTGCCAGTGAGAATAACGGTGAGACTTTGCCCACCTGCTAAAGCAGTTTCACCCCAGCTCACCAATCCCGCCCTCGCCTCCCCCCCTTACTTTCTTTAAAGAGTCTGTGCATGGACCAAACAACTACAAGTCTTGCTCAAAGCAGGGGTGGCTGTGTCAAAGTCCCCTGTAGTGTCTGGTGCTCCCAAACACTGCATGTTCACTGTCCAGAGGTGACAGGCCACCTGGGAGGCTCCGAGGTCAGCCACAGGCTGAGCTGGTGGCCTGCAGGGAGAGAGCCGCACACTCAGGTCTGGCTGTGTAGCCGCAGGGAAAGGGTTAAGGGGACTGTTGTCATTCTATCCGTCCTTGCTGCCCTGCTAGCTCTCCTCCAATCCCCAGGACCCTCTCCAGGGCCATTCATAAAGGGCTGGAACACACTGCCCCAGCATCTTTACAACCGCTACTCCTGGGGACGCATTATTTTCCGGGGGGCAAAGCGCCACGGATGCGAGTGGCGGTCCGGGCTCGCAGGTTGCAGAGCCAGGTGGGGCAATAGCAGAGGGCTGCGAGCATGGCCTGGACGGCTCGCGGCCACGGGGCCCTCGGGCTGCTGCTGCTGCTCTCAGGGCTCTGCTTGTGCGCAGCGCAAGTAAGTTGTGTGCGAGGGTACAGGTGGGTGCCTTCTCACTCTATCCCCATCTTTTCTTCTCCAGCCCAGCCAGACCACTGAAGAGGTAAGCTAGGGGCGAGAAATGTTTGCATTTTTCAAGCGCACAACAGGAAAGTTGGGGGTGCTGTGATGGGGTTGCCTTGCTGGAGGCGTGGAGTGTCCCCAGGGCCCTTGCCCCCGGGCTCCCTTCTGCCTTGAGCGGCACCTGTGGTGAGCGCCCTCTGAGTCTAGTCGGGGGCCCCAGGTGACCTCTGGGTCTGGGAGAGAGCACCTTCACCTCCCTTCTCCCTCTTCCCGACCATCGCCTGCCAGGAGCCTCAACACTGTAGGGTCAGGCACCGAAGGTGAGCAGGTTTTAAGTTTTTGGTCTCCATTTCTCCTCCACCTCTTCGGGCCCCATTCTGGTAGTGATCAGGAGCGGGCCTTGCTTGGAGCAGATGGGGATTCAGCAAGCGCCCTTTCTCGCGCCTCCAGCCCCAGGTCCTGCTAGCGTGCAGTGGCTCCGGCCGGAGTGGACGCAAGCGACCCTAGGTCCCATCGCCAGTACAACAGCTCCTCTAAGGCTCTGGCGTCTTTCCCCCTCCCGCGCCGGAGAGCCCCAGACGGGGGCAGACAAGCCCAACCCAGGTTTGAGGTTTCTCTACAAAGACCCTATTGTAAACCTGTCTGGTCACTGGAGTTCAGAAAAACACAGTTCTCCTTGATGAAAGAGGCTTTCTTCTTTAAAATTCAGAAGCAGGGGGAGAAATTTGCCCAAGCAATCCGTTCATCCTGTGTCAGATGCCAGGGTTCCCCCTCCCAGTGCCATCAAAACGGAGCTGTTTGCCAGCGATAAAAGGGGTCATACCTTAGGGTCAGTCTGAAATCTGGAGGCATTTGGAAGCCAGGCGAAGAGACCTTCTTTTGAGAAAGCGGCCCTGCAGGTACAATGGAAAGGAGATCAGCCTCTCTCTCTGGGTTTCACAAAGAGAGAGTGACAATGTCCTGCTGTCATCTGTCTGGCCTGGGGCTTCTCTTGGCAACTCTGTTCTAGCCCAGACCCCGACCTGCACTTACTGATTACATGGAAGTAGCTAACGGAATCCCTTCCAGGCCCACCCTCCTCTACAGCGCCCCCTCGGGTGGACGCACTGAGTGAGTCTAGGCGAGAACTCCACCATTTACCTCCTTGGGAATGAGACAGAGACCGCACCGGCTTTGGCGTTTGAAACTCATTTATTTTATCCTATCTTTTAACTATTGGGTTTTAAAAACTCGACCTCCACAGAGAGGGGCTCCATCCCCGTGCTCCACTAACCCGTGTACTGTTTTTGACAGCGAGGTCCCCCAGGTGAGCAGGGGCCTCCTGGGCCTCCGGGGCCCCCTGGAGTTCCTGGCATCGATGGCATCGACGTAAGTTCCTGTTTCCAGGCCCTGGGTTCCGCATCCCAGCCCTTTCCAGCCCTTTGCCAGGAGGCTTCCTTGAGTCTTTAGAGGGTCAGGTGCCCTCCATTCTCCCGCACCCCTGCACGGGTTGGGGTGGCGTTGGATCCCAGGAGCCAGGGGATTTTCCAAGAGGGGAGGTAGTCGTGTTCCCGTTTTTCCCAATCCCAATCTGCCTTTCACCCCCTGTTGCACGTGTGGGGTTGTTCCAGTTTCTCCCCCTCACCACTGCCTTCTCTTCTCCCCTTCCAGGGTGACAGAGGTCCCAAGGGTCCCCCGGGCCCCCCGGTGAGTAGATTGGCACAGTCATGCCCCACTTCCTTCCTTTGCAGCCACCCGTGTCCTAAGGGTCTCAACTTTGCACCTTTTCCTCTCCTTGCTCAGGGTCCAGTTGGAGAACCAGGAAAGCCAGGAGCTCCAGGCAAGCCCGGCACGCCTGGTGCCGATGTGAGTAGGTGGGGAGGGCTGTGAAGAGCTGGCTGGCAGTGGGTGTGTGGGGTGTGGGGTGTGGGGTGTGTGTGTGAGAGAGAGAGAGAGAGAGAGATACCAAGCGACTGACTGACCTTGGCTGGGGAGTGTAGCTAGAGATGGAGACAGAAGCAGAGAGATAGTGACAGAGAGAGACAGAGACACAACAGCTGTACCAGCAGAGAGACAGAGACAGTGACAGAGCAAGCCAAGTACTCTGGCCCTGCCCTGAACTTGGCCTTGTGCCACTGTCTGGTCATGGAGCTAGCTGCTTCTGCAGAGGGGCGTGGGAAGGTGGAGGTGCCTCTTAGCTTCCATGGGATGGGGTGGGGTGGGGAAAGAGCATGCAGTGCTACCTTTCCTTGGAAACAGTGGGGAACTGGCTGCTGCCTTAACAGTGAGCGCCCTGCTGGCTCAGCCTGGATGTGGGCACAGCCTGCGGCTGTGGCTCCTAGCAGATGGTCTTCATCCTTGCCTGAACCTGAACGCAGACATAGGGACAGAGCCCTCCTAAATCCTGTGGAATATGAAAAAGAAAGATGTGCTTGGGGTATGTGTGTTGATGGGGGAGAGGTCTTGGAATGAATAGGGGTATGTAGGGATGGTGCAGGGACACCAGAATGCTCACCACACATCAAAGAGGAAATGCAAAATTAGCTTAGCAAAGTGGTTTTCTGGTTGGCATCCCTGATAGCGTTGAGCTGACCAGGATTGCTTGAACCCTAGGATTGGGACTTAGCAACCCTTCCATCTTAAAGTCCCTAGTTTGAACTTGGTCTGTATGTCAAATAGCAGTTCATTTAGCACCAGGGGACTGATACTTGGATAGTACAAACTGAAAACCAAAGTAATATTTGGATAATACAAATTGAAATGATACCTGTTGGCTAGCAACCTCTTCTTTGGAGCATCATGTCACACTGTCCTAAAAATATCTAAATAGAATAGCCTAGTACAAGTTGAATTTATTTCTATATTCTTTGGAAACTTCAGCCAGCCTTTGTTTTGGATGAAAAGAAAATTTCTGATTAAATTAAACATTTTTCTTTTTTCTGTTTGCCAATTGAAGCATAAACCCGCCTCTGAAGTTTGCTTTGGTATTGAACAGCAATATAATTGCAGAGAGATACTTTTTCTGTCTCTCAGATTAATAGTGTTTTTGTAGTTTGCCTAACAAATTCTTCTTTATACCATAATGTCATAAGGACAGTCCCTGGTTTTGCTCTGTAATTTCCCCACCTTGACAGAAATTTTGGGTAAACAAAGTACTTTGGAATATTTAGAAGTAAATCGTAAAAAACATTTTCAAGTAATTTTTTTCTTTGTCTATATTTGCAGTTGTTTAGTACAAAAACAAGCCAGGTTTCAAATATTACAAGTTGTGGAAGAGTAAGGCTTCGTAGATCATTCAACTTTGACACCAGAATGTTCTCGAGGGAAAATGGATGATGAGGGCTTGTGTCAGCCTCTAGGGTCAAAGAAGGAAAGCAAAAAAGAGAGGGAAGGAGAAAACAAGGACTCATGCATGTGCCAATATTTTAGACATTTCTTAGCTCTAAAGGAAAAAATATTTGCATTTGTGTAGAGCTTTTCATTCAAACACTGTCACGTTATTTCCTTTAACCCTAAAATAATGTGGAAAGTAAGTTGTCTAATATTTTCCATGGATAAGGGAAGCGAATAACTACGAGGACAAATGGTTTCTTCAGGGATGCAGAGTTATTTAGTGATTAAGATGACAAATCCATAATTTTTAAAATTTTAAATTTTTTTATACGCCTCAGGCTTGCCTTATACAGATGCAACATGATTTTTTTTTAAAAATATTTTTCTTTTAAAGATTTATTTATTTGAATGCAGCATTGAAGAGAAGGAGACATAGAGAGGTACTTCCTATCTGTTGACTTACTCCCTAAATGGCCATAATAGCCCAGGCTGGGCCGGGCCAAAGCCATGAGCTTCATCCTGGGTGCAGGGTCCAACAAGCACTTGTGCCATCCTCGCTCCCTTCCTAGGCTACCAACAGGGAGCTGGATCAGAAGTGGAGAAGCTGGGGTGCGAACTGGCACCTGTATGGGATGCCAGTGTCACAGGCAGTGGCCCAACCTGCTGTACCACAATGCTGGCCCCAGTAAGGTTCTTAATGAAGAACTGGGGGAGAATAGAGAGGAAAAGTGACAGTGGATTATTACTACCTAAGTTCCCAACCAAGAATGATATGAAGAATTAAATGGTTAATAAATTAATTTATAGTTAATATTTTATTATTTATAAAATTGCTGTATTTTATGTCATCAAACTTTTGGAGAGACTTTGGAATTGGAGTTTTGTTACTCCACTCTTAGGTTGATTTGACATTAAAAAAAAAAAAAAAACTTTCACCGTAAATTGAGAATGAACAGCTTTGAGAATAATGAAGCATAATGACTAGATCAGGGTTTTCTGTCTCTGGCCACTGGGGAGCTAAGTCAATAGGAAAACTTCTACAGTCCTTTCTTGGCAATGAATCTGAGTGTGGTGATAGGAACTTAAACCTTTGTCTTTACTTCTTGGTTTTATTTTAAAGCTAAATTTTTTATAATATTAACAAAATGGTTTAATTGAATGATACTCTCAAAGGAACAGTTTGAAGTTTCTTTTCCTGTGTTGAGTGGCTGGGTTAGCAGAACAGGTGAAAAAGTCATAGCAGCTGTGCTTGTCGACTCTTAGCTGCTGAACTGTTGGAATGCTGGCAGGAAATCGCCACTGAGGACGGATATTATCTGCCAAACAGTGGCATGAAGTTCACAGCCAGCTTCAGTATCACCCAGGATAGAACTTTGCATAAACGTTCATATGAAGGCAATTGTTTATACCACTAGTACTATTTTCTTCTAAGGCTTAGAGTTTTATTACGAATTGGGTTTTGAAAATTGTATAGATGTGATGTGTGTATATATATATATATATCTAGATATATATATATATCTAGAGAGACTCATATATATTCCAAGTATCTCCTTTTTTTTTCTTGAAGATCGATTTATTTATTTGAAAGTCAGAGTTACACAGAGAAGGAGAGGCAGAGAGAGAGAGAGAAAAAAAAGAGAGAAAGAGAGAGAGACACACAGAGACAAGTCTTCCATCCTCTGGTTCACTTCCCAATTGGCCACAATGGCTAGAACTGTGCCGATCCGAAGCCAGGAGCTTCTTCCAGGTCTCCCGCGCAGGTGCAGGGGCCCAAGGACTTGGGCGATCTTCTACTGCTTTCCCAGGCCATAGCAGAGAGCTAGATTGGAAGTGGAGCAGCCGGGTTTCAAACCGGTGCCCATGTGGGATGCCAACTCTGCAGGTGGTGGCTTAACCTGCTACACAACAGCACTGGCCCCAGTATTTGCTTTCTTAGGTTGAATTTAATTCTTCTTTTCCCATATGAACATATGAAAATCAAGAAGTCAGACCTTGGTTAGAATCCTGCACCCAAAGGCCAGCTGTGTTATTATCAATAATATCAAGAGATACCTTTTTATTTTAATTTTTTAAAAATATTTTAGTTATAAGGCAGAGTTACAAAGTAAGAGAGGCAGAGAGAAAGAGATCTTCCATTCACTAGTTGACTCCCCAAATGGCTGCAATGGTCAGGGCTGGGCCAGGCTGAAGCCGGCAGCCTGGAGCTTCTTTTGGTTCTCCCTTATGGGTGCAGGGGGTGCAAGCAGTTGAGCCATCTTCCACTGCTTTCCCAGGTGCATTAGCTGGGAGCTGGATCTGAAGTAGGGAAGCTGGGTCTCAAACTGGCGCCTGTCTGGGATGATGGCATAGTAGGCAGAGGCTTAACCTGCTACACTACAGCACTGGCCCCTAGAGACATTCTTGTAGGTCATATTTGTTGTGACATGCTCAAAGAGCTTGTGGAACAGTATCTTATTCTTTCTTACAGTGTCCACTTGAAATAGGCAGAGGTGAATTAGGGTTAAGTATGGGAATTATAGTTAAACCATGACACTTTTTACAGGCAAGATATTACATGCACGATATCCTTTAAATGTATACAATTATGAACCCCAGAAGCTGTTTTATGAGTTGGATAGTGTGTCAAGAAATTATTCTGAAAGGTCAATGAAGGTACAAATGGTGAGGCATTAAAAGAAAGGTGAAAAGGCCAAGAAGTACAGTGCTGAGGTTAATATCGAATTGTTTTTTGTTTTGTAATACCCTTTTTGAATGGGGAACAGCATCTAGAACACTGCGTAGTTAAGCCACTTGCCTATGACTGCCCATTTACTAAGTGGCAGAGTCCGTAGTTGAGCCAAAAATAAAGAAAATGTGGAGTGATAGGTGTAATGTCCTTCCACCTAAAAGGCTAAGCTGAATAATTTGATACTCACGTGTTGAGTGTGTCTAAGATGCTAGGGGCCATGTGCAAGAACTCAGGGAGCTTACATTTTCCTATATAGCTATTTCACACTAGACTTTGTTGTAATACCTGACACCAGAATCCATGTTCAATTTTATGCAAAGAATTTCCCTGCGAGAGATGGAATTTATCTTTATCTTATGGCAGATACTTAAAAAAAGTGTCTCAAACAGGATGTGCAGCCGTTTACTGGGTTCTGCCTTACGGTATTGCAGCTGAAATTTGAGCATATATAGCAGATAGTATTCTCAAATCTTGCCAGTTATTCCAGGTACAAGATTGAAGAAGGTGAGATGGTCATGTGCATGAAAATTGACCAGGATTGGTTTTAGAGGGTATATGTGTTAAGTGGGAGTTAGGGATCCATTAGTTAAATATGCAATGAGTTTTGTAAAATTTATGTGCTATTTGTGCTTCCGGTGGTACTCAACAGCTAATCATGCTGGGGCTTGCTGTCGTCCTGCAGTTGGTCTAGGGCAACTGGAAATTCAAACAGACTGTCAAAAGTTCTTTTACGTGTGCTTAATGTTTTTCTTTAAGATTTATTTATTTGAAAGTCAGAGTTATAGAGAAGGAGAGGCACAGAGAGAGAGAGAGAGGTCTTCCATCCAGCAATTCACTCCCCAAATGACTGCAACGGCCGGAGCCATGCTGATCCGAAGCCAGGAGATTCTCTGGGTCTCCCACATGGGTACAGGGGCCCAAGGACTTGAGCCACCTTCCACTGCTTTCCCAGGCCATAGCAGAGAGCTGGATTGGAAATGGAGCAGCTGAGACTCAAACCAGCACCCATGTGGGATGCTGGCACCGCAGGCAGTGGCTTTACCTGCTATGCTGCAGTGCTGGCCCCAGCTTAATGCTTTTTTATTTTGGTAATTTTCCAGTGATTTAACATTTTTTTTTTAACTTTTATTTAATGAATATAAATTTCCAAAGTACGATTTATGGATTACAATGGCTTCCCCCCCATACCGTCCCTCCCATCCACAACCCTCCCCTTTCCCACTCCCTCTCCCCTTCCATTCACATCAAGATTCATTTTCGATTATCTTAATATACAGAAGATCAGCTTAGTATACATTAAGTAAGGATTTCAACAGTTTGCTCCCACACAGAAACATAAAGTGAAAAATAATAGATGATTTTTTTTAAATGATGATGAAATCAGATCAGACCTATTGTCATGTTTAATCCCAGTGAGAGTCAAGTTGGGAGTTGATAATTTTTTTTTTTTTTTACAGAGGATCAGTTTAGTATACCTTAAGTAAAGATTTCAACAGTTTGCACCCCCATAGAAACACAAAGTGAAATATATTGTTTGAGTACTCGTTATAGCATTAAATCTCAATGCACAGCACATTAAGGACAGAGATCCTACATGAGGAGTAAGTGCACAGTGACTCCTGTTGCTGACTTTACCAATTGATACTCCTGTCTATGGCATCAATAATCTCCCTATGCTCCAGTCATGAGTTTCCAAGGCTATGGAAGCCCTCTGAGTTCTCCAACTCTTATTTTGTTTAGACAAGGTCATAGTCAAAGTGGAGGTTCTCTCCTCCCTTCAGAGAAAGGTACCTCCTTCTTTGAAGACCTGTTCTTTCCACTGGGATCTCACTCACAGAGATCTTTTGCCAGAGTGTCTTGGCTTTCCATGCCTGAAATAATCTCATGGGCTATTTCAGACATGGATAGCCCGTGATTTAACATTTTTGAAATTTTTTTCTACTTCCTTTGATTGATTCTATAGAGTTTCTAGAGAAGTTAATTGACATTGAGAAATATAAAATTGGTGGTCAGTGAACTTGCTTTCTAAGTGAATTACATGAAAGCATTTTATTGATGTTTATGTACACATAAACTATTAATTTGGTGATCTACTTTAAGACTTCCACATTCTCGGCCGGCACCGTGGCTCACTAGGCTAATCCTCCACCTTGCGGCGCCGGCACACCGGATTCTAGTCCCGGTCGGGGCGCCGGATTCTGTCCCGGTTGCCCCTCTTCCAGGCCAGCTCTCTGCTGTGGCCAGGGAGTGCAGTGGAGGATGGCCCAAGTCCTTGGGCCCTGCACCCCATGGGAGACCAGGATAAGCACCTGGCTCCTGCCATTGGATCAGCGCGGTGCGCTGTCCGGCTGCAGCGCGCCGGCCGTGGCGGCCATTGGAGGGTGAACCAACGGCAAAGGAAGACCTTTCTCTCTGTCTCTCTCTCTCACTGTCCACTCTGCCTGTCAAAAAAAAAAAAAAGACTTCCACATTCTCAACAGATTATTCCCTTAATTAGTATTCACATCTTTTAAGAAATGTTGATAATTTTTATCAGATATTTATGCATACATGTGCATATATGTATATGCACAGACATAAACATAAACATTTATATTTGGGAAGATATAATTGCAAGATTATATTGAGAATGACGAGATTTGAAAGTGTCAGCAAATTTTTAAAATGAAAGTTCATGTTCGACTGTGGAAGTTCAGGTGTACATGTATGTAATATTGTCATGTATTAATATCTATATTGAGGATGATAACAAAATAAGTACTAGAAGAAACACAGGGGATGTTTAAAAGATTTATTTAGTAACTGCTTTAGTGTTAGGTATGATAATTTTAAATGCATTTCATAATTGGCTTAAATTGTTCATAACAAGAGGACACACATGAACATATAGACTTAAATATAAACATTTTTGCTAAGGAAGATAATGTAAAAACATGCATGCCTTCAAATATCTGAACTTTAAGAGTTGATATTGTTCCATAAGCAATTTGCATTGCTAGAAGATGACTAGAGGGCTTTTAGTGGTTATAAGGCAGTAATGAGATTATTTGTGTTTCATTCCTATCAAGGAAACATTATATTAATGATTAAGACATGATTGTATGTAGTTGGAGAGACACCTGGTATTTTTATTTCATAGTAAAATAAAGGAGGTACATAAACTTATGTAAATGGCAGAGTCAAGACTCACCAGACTTGACTGTCAGAACGCTATATTTGTTATATTGCATTTTTTCAAAGCAGTGACATTAAAACACCACAGTAAGCCATGCATTTAGTGGGCAGTTAGTAATACAAAATTTAGCAACAGAAAACAACTAGCAAGCAAATCTCATGCTAAACATTAGCTTCGAGTAAGACATAAGCATCCAGCAGTTAATAAATGAGATGAAAATTTTTCACCTAGTGGTTTGCCTAAAGATATTACTTCTAATATCACTATCTTTCTTTCTTAGGGTTTAACAGGACCTGATGGATCTCCTGGCTCTGTTGGACCAAGGGGACAAAAAGTAAGTTAGCTAACAGTATTAGCTGCTGATATTAATCAAATGCTGAAGTATAATTTTACTGTATTTGCAAATCAGCTGAGAAATTATTATACAGAAGCTGAAATACACTTGTTCAGGTAAAACTGTTTGAAAACACCAGGATAGAGTGGTTTAATGATCTCAGTGTTTGCATAGTTTGCATACTTGCATATTCATGCTACCAAAAGCCCAGTACGATAAAGCTATGTTTGTTTTTAGGGAGAACCTGGTGTGCCTGGATCTCGTGGATTTCCAGTAAGTAGTTGCGTAGCAAAAGAATTGAAAGTATCCTAATATTTTAGGTAGAATTCTGCCGTTGTGAAATTTTTAAAATGCAGTTCTCTGCATACCATACATGCCAAAGAGTTTGATTTATTTGGTATGGTAAACATTCCTGCTGTGAATAGAAAAATTTTAGAGAAACTTGAATGTTCAGTATAGAATACATGTCTACTTGCAGGTGTATTTGTCAGTAGGCAACTCTTCCTTTACCTCATTGATAGAAAACATATCTTGTACACAACAGCAGATCTAAGTATTCAATGTGTAACCCTTTCATCATATCATTTTCTTCACAGCTGGTTTTATCTTGAAATATCAACTAATCAGATATTATCACCTGCCTGATTCCCTGCTAATCTTTTATATTGCACAATCCAGCAGATTTATGTCTCCTGTATGTATGAGGACTATATTCTCATCAGCCCTTTCTATTTTGTTCTTCAATCTTGTTTTTTTTTTTTTTTTTTTTTTTTTTAAGATTTATGTATTTGAAAAGCCGAGTTTACTGGGGAGGGTGAGGGAAGAATCTTCCATTTGTTGGTTTACTCCCCAAATGGTTGCAACCAGAGATAGGCTGATCTGAGGGTGGGAGCCAGGAGATTCATCAAGTACTTGGGCCATCTTCTGCTTTGCCAGGCACATTATAAAGGAGCTGATCAGAAGTGGAGTAGCTGGGACTAGAACCAGTGCCCGAAGGGGATCCTGACATCACAGGCAGTGGCTTTACGTGCTATGCCACAGTGCTGGCCCCATCTTTGGTTCTGTTTTGATCTTTTCTTAATCTGTATTTTTCTTCCTTTTTCCCCATTTCTACTATTTTCTTTGCTATAATTCAGCATCTGTCAACTTTTCCATTATAAACCCATTTTCAGAAGTGAATATTGGAGCTGGCGCTGTGGCGTAGCAGGTAAAGCTGCCGCCTGCAGTGCTGGTATCCCATATTTACGCCAGTTCAAGTTCCAGCTACTCAACTTCCAATCCAGCTCTGTGCTGTGGCCTGAGAAAGCAGTAGAATTTGGCCTGAGTCCTTGGGCCCCTCCAGTGGTGTGGGAAACATAGAAGCTCCTGGCTCCTGGCTTCAGATTGGCACAGCTCTGTCCGTTGTGGCCGTCTGGGGAGTGAACCAGTGGATGGAGACCTCTCTTTTTGCCTCTGCTTTCTGCCTCTCTGTAACTCTGCCTTTCAAATAAATAAATCTTAAAGTGAACAGACTTTGTCCCATGTTTTTTCAACTCGGATCTCAAAATCTTAGAAAGATTTCTTTTTAAATATTTAGGGACATTGGTCAAACATCTAGGTCTCTCATAATGAAGTAACTAATTGATTACTTTGGAATTTCCAAAGTAATCTTTCCTAAATTGATTTGTTATTAAAATGTTCAAATAGGAGAAATTTTTTCCAAAAATGCTTGTAAAAAGTCTCACTTATTATTAAAACATACTGCCTGTGTGAAGCTGTTGCTTGTTTGACTGCCTAAATAACTAGAAATAATAGTATAATTATGGGAGAATATGCATTGATTTTATTTGGGGTGCTTTATATAGGATTATTTTAGGAAAGCACGTCTGGAGTAAAAAGCTAACATAAATATGGCATCACAGGCAGCTGTGAACACAAGCTATCCAAGACTAAGCAGGAGAGAAAAGATGAAATCCCCAGGGGAAAAATTGAAGTTAGAAAGTAAAAAAGAATATGGAATTTCAGAAATATAAGTTTCAACAAGCATATTGGTTAGTTTATTATATGCTAGGCCCTGAGTTAGGAATTGGAGGAAGGTGAATAAGATACATTTCAAACCTTGATCGTATCGCTTTAGCACACTAAATTACATACAAAGTGTGAAGAGGGAGGTGGGAAGACTAGCTTTAAAACTGAATTCCGTGTATTCAATTAGAATCGCATTTTGGGTTACTTCAGGAGTGACACTATTTCATTTACAATGCCTCCTAGACTTAGTATCAGGAAACATAGGAAATTCTATTGTAAACTGTATAACTATATTGCCTTTGATAAAGATTTCATATGAAATACTTTATAAAATCTTGAAGTGGTCCAAATGTGATGCACCTTTTTGTGAGCACCTTTTTGTAAGTTCTCCTGAGGACAGGCATGGATAGATTCTTTACTTTTGTTTTTATTAAAAGAGAAGTATTGGAACAATTATTTCTGGTTAACTCAGAGAGCAAAGAAATGTTTGAAGAGCTGAAACAAGTTTCTCCTTGCTTTAGAAACCCTCGTGTTTGCGTTTCTTTAGAATGAACATCATATGTTTGTTTATTGATAGTTTATGGCATGTGACTTATACCATAAAACCATAAACATTTTCATTTTAATCTTTTAGGGCCGTGGTATTCCTGGACCCCCTGTAAGTATGGCCTGTTTCACAAATCTTGACGATACTCCAAGCTAACACCTGCTCCAGTGGTGTTTCTCGTGCCTCTGCCTACCTGATCTTAGGTGGCTACTAATGCCAATGCTGCTATTCTGCTAAACGAAAGATTTTTTAATTTAGGAAACTTCTGTCTCACTCCAAGTAATTAAAGTTAGATCAAATGAGTTATTGTCTCATTGGGGAAAAAAAGCTAGCAGAGAAACAAATTTCTAAGTCTGGTAATTGATCATATTTGGTATTATTGATGTTATAAAATTATCCATAATTACAATATTGTTTTGGTTTACTGACTTCAGGGTCCTCCTGGGACAGCAGGACTCCCTGGAGAGCTTGGCCGAGTAGGACCCATTGTGAGTACCTCAGTGCATTTTAATAGACATTTGCTGATTTCATAGATGGTTTTATTAGGGAATAAAAATTATGCTATATGTTTCTCCCTAAAAATCCAAAAATGGTAGATGAAGTTCATTTCATAATATTGATGTGGACACTTTTGTAGACTGATTCTTTGAATTTATTTTTTTCTCTGAAGTTTTTGGCTCAACTTCTCTTTCTAGCTTCCAGATTGAATATCACATAATGGAATGCCACCTGTATTTAACAGACTGTGAACGTGGACTGGGGTCTAGTGGCTTTTGTATTGGACTCTGTACATGAAATTTTAAAAAAAATGAATAGCTTAGAATTATTACCATGTATATTTATGTTAACAGCATTAAATTATAATCAAACCAACAGCACTTGGACATTAAAGGGCTGAACTTCATAGAACAAATAGCTGATAAAAAGTGCATATGCTGGTAATTCAGGAAATATTTTAAAAAGGTTGAAGGAGTGATGTTATATTAAGACAGATATCTGTAAACTCGTTAAGGGAAAGAACCACGTGTTACATAGTTCTTCTCCACATGTGCTTACTGTTTCCAAATTTATTAACTGAGCAAATGAATGTATTTGAAATAATTATAATTTTAATAAACAATAAGATGCTTTTGATTTCTGTTGGAATAACCTTAAGGAAAACATCTCAAGAGTAACCACTGAATGTTAAGACTAATTGGAACCCATTTGCACCTGAATGGCTTATTTGAATTTAGCCATCTTGAATTTTCTGTACCATTGCAAGTGAGTGCATGACAGGCCAAGTGATAGACGTGGGTGAACAGCACCAGCCAGGGGGTGGGCATTGCCGAGACAAGCCTTCCATTTCACAGCCTCAGCCACTGAAGCCTGCTTCCTCTCATTAGCTGGCTGGCACTGGCAGTATTGACAGCTCTGGTTTCTCTGTAAATTAACTAGAAAAAAATGTTTCTAGCTTGTTTCCCAAGTAGATAAGCGATCCTCCTATCCTTAGGAACTGGGTTTGTTTCTTTCCCTGTCTCCTTTGGTAAGATTGGTACACCTTTATGATTCTGGTTTTATAGAACTAATTAGATTATGGGCCACCCATCGATTCGGATGGCAAGTCTATACGTGGCTGGACCCTGTAGGGGTTTCTGGTAATACCATTCTCTGATGCCTTGCCAGTTTTTTTGTGCTGTATTTGACACATGTATAACCACTGTGCCACCATTTTCATATAACTTAGGGAGACCCTGGGAGAAGAGGACCACCTGGCCCCCCTGGACCCCCAGGACCCACTGTAAGTTATTAGCAGCTTGAAATTTTCTTTGCATTTGAGAGGGAGGACTGAAGACATCTAAGAACCAAAAATGGAAGTGTTTTTTAATTGAGTCATTGTTCCAAACTTCCAAAATGGCTACCAGTGCTTTCACTCACTCCAAGCATAGTTCTCTTTAGGCCAAGAAGTGGAGGAATCACAGTAATCTAAAAGGTGGCTTTCACAGCACAAGTCTTACTCTTTACATTTGAAGTGCTTTGAACTTGTGATTTCCCAAATGCACAAAGCTTTGATACATAAAAGGACAATTTTCAAATGATCTATTTTTTTTTACAAAGATTTTCACAGTAAGAAATTGAAGAAATAGAAGTTTAGGTAGGAAAGAATTTGTGTTTTTAATTTGTGATTTAGAGCACTCTGTACTTCCTCTTCTGCCTCATTTCATTTCCCTTCAATTTCCTGAAAGAAATAATCTATTGCTGTTTAGGGTTCTCTGGAATGTTCCTTTAGGATTATGCCCATGAGTGAAGTTTTTAGAATATTAGTATATTATATCCTACTATTTGTTTCTTATATTTTATTAAACCAACATACTTCTTATATTTTTGTCCAACAAACATTCTCTTATTAGTAACTTTGAATTAATTTAATTATATTCTTTAAAATTTCATTTATTCTAGGGAGCAATCGGCTTTCATGATGGAGATCCACTGGTAAGACGCTTTCCTTGGAATAAAATGTAGCTTTAATTCAAAGGCCATGGAGTCCTCAGCTGAGTTTTCTTTAAAATTCTCTCCGGGATCTACTGGCCTTCTATGTTTTCCTTTAACTCAGATGGCTGAGCCATCTGTAGCACTGGCGCACTGGTGGTTTGTGTGTACCCAAACTCTGACAGGTTTTCATTATGGAAGTATTTTTGTTTTTCTGTAATTTTTTTTCACTTGATGACTAAGGCATACTTTTCACCAGAACACTTTGATTTTAGAAGCCAGAAACAAATAAGTCCTCCTAAACCTTATCTTATATGCAGATTAATAGCTGGATGATGGTAATAAAAGGGCACTAGATGCAATGCTAGCCCATTTGACAAGGGGATGTAAACCTTAGGGTAGAGCTGTTCCTGTGTATGTGGGGGAAGCAAATGGGGTCGTGATATGAAAGATTGTACACATTTTATTTCTTTAATAAATTAGATCTGAAATAAGTATGGCACAATAGTAAATATTTATTAAATCCGGATGGTGGATACAGGAGGTTATTTGTTACATTTTCTATATGTTTTTGTATATAGAAATATTTCTGAGCTATAAATGAAATGATAGGAAAGAAATGGTTATTTCATGGTTATTATTGCATTGAATTTCTGTTGCTGAAGCCACTAAAAAATAAAAGAAACCACATACTTTGTCACCATGTGGGGCTCTAGCTTATACTCTGTCTTTTCTCCCCTCTCTCTGGCAGTGTCCCAATTCCTGTCCACCAGGTCGCTCAGGATATCCAGGCCTACCAGGCATGAGGGTAAGAGAATAATTTCTCTGTTTGCTTTTCAAGATATTATCCAAAGACGAAATGGAGCCTTCATTTTAAGCACTAGCCTTTCTGGTGTGTAGACCCCTCTTGGATGAATTAGTCAAATCCATTTGCTTATCCTCTGGTGCTCCAACTGATATACAGGTGACTAATTATACGATGCCTCTGCCAGGCAGAAAAGATGTGCCCATAAGATACACCAGATTGAGAGACTCCAGAACCCCAAAGCAAGTTTCATAAGTTACTCTCCTATGGCAGAAGATGGTGGTGCAACTGACAGATTGGGCACACTGTATATTTGAAACTGTTTTAGCATTTTACGAAATTGGAAAAATGGTGCAAAACAGACAAGGAGAGAAACTTTCCCAAAGGGTTTTTACTCACTTATCACAATTACTTTCACATTTTTCCATGAAAATTAAAAAGTCGACACGAAATGTTGGGGCCAAGGGTTTCTTCTTTGTAGTTTCTGAGTCTGAACTCATTTTGAGATCTTTGATACTAATGGAGTTTGCTAGGGTCCAAAGGGTCCTAAGGCACTGGTTTTCCATGAGGTTTTCTCCAAGTGAGTTCCCTCTACTGTGAAAGTTTGGGCCTGTTGATATCTTATTTTGCAAAAAAACCTTCCGACAGGTGGAAGTTTTGACAAACTTAACTTTACGTAGTTTGCCTCAAGAACAGTGGCCTGACAAGAAAAGACAGGCATCTTGATTTTTCACGCTGTGCAGCTTTTATTGCCTTCCCTTTGCAGGTAAGATTGCATTCAGGAAGGGGCACATCTGGGAAGTCTCCTTCTTATACCACCCCTTCCCCTCTCCAGAGACAGGGGTGGTAATAGAGAAAGCTAAAGTTTTTTAGAGAAGCCTCCAGAGAACTGGCCAGTTGAAGTGGATCAGTGTTGTCACTTCCAAAAAGTTATCAATGCTGAGGATTTAATGCTCTTAGCCCAAATGCAAGAAGAAGATGGTGAAACAGGATCTAGGGAACAACAGAAACTATTAATGAGTCATGTTGCTGAACTAGATAAAGGAATGCATGTTATTCTAGAATAGTGTTTTTCTGTTAACAGAAACATTATATACCTCAGTCATGTAATACACATGATCTGTTCGGGCCATTTAAAGCATTATTTTTATTTGTCAGATCATCTTTTCTTGGTAGTACATTGACACAGATTTAGGGAAGAAGGATCACCCTGTGAACTTCTTGTTTTCTGTGCCAAGTGTGATAAAATTCTATTTATATATTTACATATGTATTTATTTTTTATTTTTTAGGGCCATAAAGGGGCAAAGGGAGAAATTGGTGAACCAGGAAGACAAGGACACAAGGTAAGGAAAATGAACACAGTATTTAGTGGACAGAATTGGTGAGGAGGTACTGATTACTTTCATTATTAGAAAGTATAACAAAGTATGATATTTTATCTTTATTTTCCAATTAATGATAAGTTCTCAGTAGATGCATCAATATTCTATAAATAAGACCAAGTGTCTGGTAATAACAAAATAACAATAGATAGAATTAAAAAGGAGAAAATGTTCCACAGCAGACTCAGAGAATGACAAATGCCCTAAACAGCACTCTGATCTCAGAATCAGCCCTTAAGGCATTTGGATCTGGCTGAAAAGCCTATGAGAGCATTTCAGGCATGGAAAGCCAAGACACTGTGGCAAAAAATGATCTACACAAAGGATCTCTGTGAATGAGACCCCAGCGGTAATAAGGGGCCATCAAAGAATGATGTACTTTTCTCTGAAGGGATGAGAGAACTTCCACTTTGCTTATGGCCCTGTCTAAATACCAACAGAATTTGTGGACTCAAAAGGCTTCCATAGCTTAGGCAGCTCATGTCAAGAGCCTTGGGTGATCACTGACGTCATAAATAAGAGTGTCAATTGTTAAATCAACAACATGAATCACTATTAACTTACTCCCCATTTAGGACCTCTGTCCTTAATGAGTTGTACTATGAGAATTAACTGTAAAACTTGTTTTCAAACAGTACTTTATACTGTGTGTGTGTGTGCACACATGTGCAAATTGTGGAAATCTTGGAGTTGGTCTTCTGTATAGAAAGTTAATTAAAAATGAATGTTAATGAAGAATAGGGTGGGAGAGGGAGTAGGAGGTGGGATGGGAGTGGGGGTGGTAGGGTGGATATGGGGGGAAGAATCACTATATTCCTAAAGCTGTACCTATGAAAATTGTATTCATTAAATAAAAGCTTTCTTAAAAAAAGAATAGTATTCTAAAGTTATTCAGTTACAAAAAGCAAGGCATCATACATTTCAATATTTTACTGTGTTGACTGCCTTGCCTTTTACTTTCCTTCTCAAATCAATCACACTCACTTTTTTCCCTTAATGTTTACAATACACAAACATTGTTCAACTCCAGAAAACATAATTTTGTTATTTGTAAAATTTTATATCAGGTGTTTTTGAGACAAGCAAATAAAGAAGCTGGTATTTTGGCTTGTAGCTTCTCAGCTCAAGTTCTGAAATAATTTGTTTATCTATGACCTGATGTCAACATATCCTAGATTTCAAGTAAGCTAGGAGTGAGTGATAACCTATGTTATTATCTGGATAGAAGCGTGGAATCTCATACAACTTGCAATGGCACAGGCAAGCCTTGCAGAAAAACCAAAGCTGAGATTTAAAGCAAGGAAACCTATATGCTCTTTTGTCATCTACTGGACTGAATAATCTAAGTATCTACAAATTTGAATGTGCACGGTAGAATTTTTGTCCTGGAAAGTGTGATAGTGTTTTACAAAGTCACTGTTATCACACAGGTCCTCTACACTTTAATGACTGTGTTCTGCATTGTTATAGGCTTTCTGGCAGATTAGTCTTTTTCTTCGGAAGTCAAGTGCTGGAGAGGCCATTTATTAATGTCTTCAATCATTAATATCTTTGAACTCCTTAGCTAAAGATCAGCCTGGCTGACTAAGCTTACATAATCAGAATAAATAGGCCAATTTTCTGTACTCTATTACAGTTAGAGTATGTATTTTCAAAGGAATTTTATTTATCTGGAATGTGATGTCTGGGTTCCTGATGCCAAACTGGAGAAAATAAGAAAAAAAAATCATGTATTATGGAAATGTCTGTGTGTGTTCATTCCTTCACTGAATCATGAAATTTATAATTTAAAAATTCAACAAATATTTATTAAGTACCTGCTATGTGCTGGGGTTTCTTCTAAATGCTGAAGGCAGAGAAGTGAACAAAATATGTCCAAGTTACAGGGGGTTGGCTAAATTAAGCATGACACATTCAGATGGTAAAATATTAGCTAACCCCCAAAGAACAGATAAGCAAGAATATTAAATTACCTCAAAAGATACTCATGAGGAAGTAAGTGTAGGGAAGGAGATTGAGTGGGTTTTCATTGCTTTTGATTCCCTGCCTCCCTCTCTCCTCCTTTTGGTGACCCTTTCTTCCGGAGAGCCTTCACTCCCCAGCCCCCCAAAACTTTGGTGATGGAGCTGTCAGTCGGGGTGTTTTTCCACTTTCCCCCTGAGATTCGTATTTCTGCTGCTCATACACATTAGCTATTTGGACTGTCAAATTTAGTTTGATCTTCAGTGGGAAACCTACAAGTTGTTTTTTGGTGTGTCAGGAAATTCACCGAAATTTTCTTTGGAAGTCATTGAAAATCCCTTTAATGTATTTTACATTTCTGTATCATTTCAAACTTTAAGTAGTATCTTTAACAATTCGCATAAGACGGTTGGATGGCATTAGTTCACTGAAGAATGAACCTTGAAAAAGCTCACAGATGGACTGAACCTAAACTGAAAGCAGATGATAAAGACGTGCCTGAAGTTTGCATTCAGATACAAAATTTTGCGTTGAATGTACTCTGTGAATTAGTTAAAACTTTTAGCAGTTTTTTTAAAATATAGGAATGAATAATAAAAATTTATTTCTTTTTATATACATTTAATTTTTGTAAAATTATTTCCAAAACAATTTTAAAGATTTATTAATGTGAAAGAGGAGAGGCAGAAGTAGAGAGATCTTCCATCCGCTGATTCATTCCCCAAATGGCCACAATGGCCAGGACTGAGCCAGTCTGAAACCAGGAGCTTCATTCAGGTTTCCCAGATGAGGGGCAGGGCCCAAATTTGTGGGCCACCTTCCAGTGCTTTTCCCAGGCAATTAGCAGGGAACTGGGCTGGAAGCGGAGCAACTAGAATACAAACTCGCACCCATATGGGATGCCAGCATTGCAGGCAGTGGCTTTACCCACCATGCTACAACGCCGGCCCCCAAATTTAACCTTTCTTTATGGTGAAAACATCCAAAATCCTGTCTCCCTGTTGTTTTACTAGAGAAGTATTCATTATATTAACATTATTTATAGTTCCCCTATTGTGCATCGAACCCCAGAACTTCTTACTCCTATCCAGCTATAATCTAATATCCATTAATCAACCTTTCCCCATACTTCTTTCTCTCTTCCCTCCTAAGCCTCTGGTAACCACCATTATACTTTTAACTTCTATGAACTCAGCTTGCTTTTTTTTTTTCTTTTTTTAGGACTCCACCTATGACTGGTATCACATATTACTTGTCTTTCTGTGCTTGGTTTATTTTACTTGACATAATGACCTCCAATTCTATCCTTGTCACTGCAAATGACAAAATTTCATCCATTTTAATGGCTGAGTAATATTCTGTTCTGCTTTTTTAATCAATGGATAGACACTTAGGTAGCTTCCATTTCTTGGCTATTGAGAACAATGCTGCCATGAATATGGGAATGCAGATGTCTCTTCCACAGATTGGTTTCATTTCCCTTGGCCATAATACCCCATAGTAGGATTACTAGATCATATGGTAGTTCTATTTTTAGTTTTTTGAGGAAACTCCATACTGTGTTCCACAATGATAAACTATTTACATTCCCACCAATAGTGTGGAATGTAACATTTCTGTCTTTTTGATAATTGCCAATGTAATTATAGTGAGTTGATATCTCATTGTTTTAGTTTATATTTACCCAATGATTGGTGACATTGAGCATTTTTCTTTCTGAATATTGACTATTTGTATGACCTTCATTAAGAAATATATATTTAGATCTACTGCTCATTGTTGAATTATTTGTTTTGTTTTCCATTCAATTGTTTGAGTTCCTTATATACTGTGGATATTAACTTATCAGCTGCAGGGCTTGCAAATATTTTCTCCCATTCTATAGGTTGTTCCTTCATTCTGTTGATTGTTTCCTTTGCTGTTCAAAAACTCTGTACTTCGGGCCGGCGCCGCAGCTCACTAGGCTAATGCTCTGCCTTGCGGCGCCGGCACACCGGGTTCTAGCCCCCTGTTCGGGGCACCGGATTCTGTCCCGGTTGCCCCTCTTCCAGGCCAGCTCTCTGCTGTGGCCAGGGAGTGCAGTGGAGGATGGCCCAAGTACTTGGGCGGCCCTGCACCCCATGGGGGACCAGGAGAAGCACCTGGCTCCTGCCATCGGATCAGCGTGATGCACCGGCCGCAGCGCGCTGGCCGCGGCGGCCATTGGAGGGTGAACCAACGGCAAAGGAAGACCTTTCTCTCTGTCTCTCTCTCTCACTGTCCACTCTGCCTGTCAAAAAAATAAAATAAAATAAAAAATAAACAAAAACTCTGTACTTCGACAAAACCTCATTTGTCTATTTTTGCTTTAGTTTTCTGTGCTTTTCGGGTCTGATCTAGAAAATCCTTACCCATTTCAATGATCTAGTGCGTTTTCTCTGTTTTCTTTTAGTAGTTTCAGAGTTTCAGGTATTGCATTAAACATATCCATTTTGAGTGGATTTTTTTTTACATGGTAAGAGATAGGAGTCTAATGTCATTCTTATACATATGGTGAATTCTCAGTTTTCCTAGCAACATCTATTGAAGACTATTCTTTTTTCCAGTGTGTGTTCTTAGCACCTTTGTCAAATATCAGTTGACAGTAGATGTGTGAGTTTACTTACAGGGTTTCTAGTCTGTTCCATTGGTCTACAGATCTCTTTTTAGGCCACTATGATGCTGTTTTAATTTCTGTAGGTTTATAATATATTTTAAAGTCAGGCAGTGTAATACCTTCTGCTGCATTCTTTTTACTCAAGATTGCTTTGGTTATTGGAGTCTTTTGTGGTTCCATACAAATTTTAGTGGTGTGTTTTCTAGTTCTGTATGTTTGGAAAATGTCATTGGAATTTTGAAGGGATTTCATTGTATCTATAAATTACTTTGGGTATATGTACATCTTAATTATATTGATTCCTCCAACACATAAACATGATGTGCTTTTCCATTTCTTTCTGTCTTCAATTTTTCTATCAATGATTTAAAATTTAAATTGTAGAGACATTTTACCTCTTTGGTTAAATTAATTCCTAGATATTTTTTGTTACCTATTAAAAAGATACCTTGCTATCTTTTTTGGATGATTCACTATTGACATATAATAACACTACTGATTTTTACACATTGATTTTGTATTTCAATAGTTAAAATGTGTCAGCAGCAGCATGCAGCATGTCACTATTCATTCAAATATCTTTCAGTAAAATGACAATAAATTGCTACTCCTGAATTTCTTATTAAATATTATAGCTATTGACTAGTTATGTGGTTTTCATTAGCAGGTGAAATATTTAATTCAAATACATTACTCCAAAATTTATGGAGAATTTTTGGAAAAAGCCCTGTACCCTGTTAGGGAAAGATTGCAATGGGTAGTACAATCATTGATGCTTTATCAATTTTAGAGGTCTGTAGGGAAATACAAGTAGCACTTGACTATATACATCTGGTAATCACTCACTCAATGAGCTTGCTGTTTCACTGGCTTTCGTATTGAGAGTATTTCATTCCACTGTGAATTGTAAGTTCTAATGAGACTAAAACTGACATCTGAGAATCTCATAATTTACTTTAAAACCAAGTTTAAATGATTTAGGCACAAACTAGTTCTTTGCATTATATGTCTAAATGTTCTGTATTAATGTTGTATAGTATATCAATTATAAAAAAATAAAACCCTTGTCAAAAAGAGACTAACTTTTTTAAGGGACTATAATTTTTTTCTAAGAGATGAGTTTGACTTTTTAAATTTAAATATTGAAAGTTGATTAGAAGTTATAAAATTAATAGCAAAAAGTCAAACCAATAATTAGTAAAGTGTAAAATAGAAAATCTCATTGTCAACAGCAACCAAAATACCTTGAAACTAACAAAGAATATTCCAGCCAGAGAGAGATATTGAGTTTTATTTTTGAAAGATTTATTTGAAAGTCAAAGTTAAACAGAGATCTTCTAACCACTGGTTCACTCCCTGATTGGCTGTAATGGCTAGGGCTGGGCCAGGCCCTGAAAGCAGGGGACAGGAGCTTCACCCTGATTGGCAGGGACTTAAGTACCAAGGTCATCTGCTGCTTTTCGGAAGCCATTAGCATGGAGCTGGATTAGAAGTAGAGTAGCTGGGACACAAACTGGTGCCTGTGTGGGATGCTAGTATCAAAGTATCAGCTTTATCCGCCACACTACAGTGCCAGGACCCAATATATTGAGTATTAAGATAGATTCTAAGCCGGCGCCACGGCTCACTAGGCTAATCCTCTGCCTTGCTGCACCGGCACACCAGGTTCTAGTCCCGGTCGGGGCGCCAGATTCTGTCCCGGTTGCCCCTCTTCCAGGCCAGCTCTCTGCTGTGGCCAGGGAGTGCAGTGGAGGATGGCCCAAGTCCTTGGGCCCTGCACCCCATGGGAGACCAGGAGAAGCACCTGGCTCCTGCAATCGGATCAGCGCGGTGTGCTGGCCACAGCACGCCAGCCGCGGCGGCCATTGGAGGATGAACCAATGGCAAAAGGAAGACCTTTCTCTCTCACTATCCACTCTGCCTGTCAAAAAAAAAAAAAAAAAAAAAAAAAGATTCTAATTCTCATCATATTAATCTATTGATTTGATATAGTCCTAATACTAAGTAAGGAATACTTTTGTTAAGATCTTCTCAGCAATTCTAATGTTCATCTAGAAGAGTACACGTATAGGAAGATCTAAAAGAAATAAGAGAAACTACAGAAGCAGGCATCTGGCCTATTGGTTAAGATGCCACATCCATATCAGAGTGCAGTGCCTGGTTTGCGTCTTGGCCTCTCTGCTTCTGATCCAGCTTCCTGTTAATGTGCATCCTGGGAGAAGCAGATGATGGCTCAAGTATTTGGGTTCCTGCTTCTCATGTGGGAGATCCATATTGTTATAAGTTCGTGCCCTGATTGTTTAAGGCATTTGGGGAGTGAAGCAACATACAGAAGATAAATCTCTTTCTCTGCCTTTCAAATAAAATCTAAATAAATAAAAATGAAAGAAAGATTAACCAGTGAAACATATGTAAAATATAAAATGCAGTAAGGAAATTCTTAACTGAGGTTAAAGTGTATCGTAAAATTTTAATTAAAATATGTGCTATTGGCAACACAGCAGGTCAGAAGAGTAGAATAGAAGTCTAACACCAAGTATATGTAACAATTTAGTATACATAGAGAGTATCTATTATTCAATAAATGATACTGGAACAAGTGGCAGAATGTATGCAGAAAATAAAGTATGCAGAAAATAAAACAAGTATGCAGAAAAATAAATATTTCTTCATTAAATTTTAGATTAAATTACTGATAATTCAAGATTTCCATGAAAGAGATTTTAAACTATTAATTACTTGAAGAGAAATATATGGATATTTCTGTATTTTGAGAGTAGAAAAACGCTTTTCTATGAGTGATATCAAAGGTATAACCCATTGAAGAAAAGACTGATTCAAATACATTAAAAGTTGTGTATAGCACAAAAATTATAAGGGGAGCTAAGATGCAAATCATGATTTAGAAATACTGTAGCCTATGGAAGTTTCTATGCTATCACATTTTCCTAATAAGACATCCCCCCATATACACAGACATATACACACAGACTTGCAACAAGAATACAGGTTTCTCCCCTTCTGTTGTCCCTCCCTACTTCCCTCTAGAAAAATTGTGCAAGTATAACATCTGATTTGTTACTAGTATTTATAGTTGAATGGTGGGGATTTGAGTGGTTTTATTTTATTTGTTTAGTTCTCTGTATTTTGTGAATATTTTACAATGAACATGGATCACCTCCATAAAATGGGAAACTATAGCAGAATAATTCAGGGGATGTCAAATGAATTTAAAATGTGCTGAATTAGACGGAGCCTATTTTATGTTCATTTGCTAGAATAACATGTGGTGTGCTTTTCTTTGTTGTTTTTTAGGGTGAAGAGGGTGACCAAGGAGAACTGGGAGAAGTTGGAGCTCAAGGACCTCCAGTAAAGTATTTTTAAAAATATTTAGCTTGAATATGCAAATACTTTAAATAACTCGGGATATTTCTGTTTAGTGTTTGGATTAATAGCATTGCATTAAAGTCATGCTCTCTGTTTTTAAATCAGGCCAACAATAGGACCTAGCCACTTTATTAAAATAAGAAAAGGTCTTCTTTGTGCATTTAGGCACTTTTCTAACAGAGAAATTCTACATATAATTACATACATTCATTTAAGGGCCAGCAACAGAAAGCAAATATTGAGCACAAGTGGATGATATAGTTTTTACATTCTATGGTTCTATCACCTGATATAATGAGAAAATTTTGTGTACCCTGAATGTAGTAAGTGTATAAGCCACTAGATTAATGTGGCTTAATGCAGCATGTAATCATTGTAATTAGAACATTCTTAATTGCTCATAATCACATCTTTTAATAAAGAGCTGGCCCCTTGTGCTTTGGCAGATTGCTACAATAATAGGTAATATAATTTGGAGGCATTAACATACTTCAATTTTGCAACTTTTATTAAATCAATTTATATTACTTTTGTACTATATGGAAGTGGAATTGTTATACTTTTTTTCTTATCAAAATGTGTATTATCAATTAAGGATATAATAATCGCAGAATATTCATTGGACAAGACAGCCAAGCAAGGCACAGACAATGTAAAGGACAAGCACAGGTAGTATTCTCAGAGACTAGAGTTAGGGAAGACTAACACAGGGACACCCGTCACCTATTCTACCCTTCTCCACTGAGTTGGCCTTTAAAAGAAGGTTCACGGAGCTGTGTAGTTTGGCTTTGAACCTAGAATGTAAAGCAAATGAGTCAGAATTTGGAAGGAATGATCTCCGTTTGCACATCAAGTGAGAATCTTAAGGGAATCTGTGGAGGAGACTAAGTATTTGTTCCATAAGCTTAACATCCCTGATTCTTTGATATAAGTTGGTCAGGAGCTGGACTCTCACAAGTTGAAGATAGTGATAAATAGTGTGAGTGACATAGCCATTTCTTTCTTTCTTTCTTTTTTTGCCTAATGAAAAACTTGTAGGCATTTAAAAATACTTTTTTTAAAAAAAAGATTTATTTGTTTGAAAGAGTGACAGAGAGACAGAGACAGAGAGAGAGCGAGGGAGAGAGAGGGAGAGAGAGAGGTCTTTCATCCACTAGTTCACTCCCCAAGTGGCAGCAATGGCTGAAGCTGGGCCGGAGCTGAGCCGGTCCAAAGCCAGAGACAGGAGCTTCTACCAGGTCTTCCACGTGGGTGCAGAGGCCCAAGGACTTGGGCCATCCTCAACTGCTTTCCCAGGTGAATTAGCAGGGAGCTGGGTTGGAAGTGTAGCAGGTGGGACTTCAATCAGCACCCATATGGGAAGCTGGTGCTGCAGTCCAGGGCTTTAACCCCCTGAGTCACAGCACCAGCCCTAAAGATAGTTTTAAAACCTGAAAAGTGTTTTTATGGATATATGATCTATATTGGGTGTTGCATGGGACAAGTGATTTATTGGGGGAATATCATGGGTGCTTTTGACCTACTGGTGTCTGAAAGGCGTGTCAAATATGTCTATAGAATTCACACGTTTTCACTTTTTAAAATATACACATAGAAACATAAAATAGTGCATAGATTTTCATCTTTATTTTTTAAATATTTGTTCATTTGAAAGGCAGAGTTTAGAGAGGGAGAAAAACATGGAAATAGTGAGCTAGAGAGAGAGAGAGAGAGAGAGAGGGAGAAATATGGATCTTCCCAAAATGTCCACAATGCAGGGGATGGGCCAGGCTAAAGCCAGGAGTTTGTCCTGGGTCTCCCACCCTGGAACGCAGCTGGTGATGGCTCAATTACTTGAGTCCCTATCACCCATGGGACAGACCTGGATAGAGTCTGTGCTTTTGGTTTTGACTTGGCCCAGCCTTGATTGTAGCAGAAATTTGGAGAGTAAACTAGTAGATGGAAGCTCTCTGTATATCTCTCTGTTTCTCTGATTTTCAAATGAAAATAAATAATAAAAGTTAGTTAAAACAACAAATATGATAATTCCTCTTACACTAATGCTTATTGTTGTTGTCAGTAATTGTGCCAACCCCCAGTGATGTCACTGTTTATGGTAGCTTGGGTCATAATGACATCCTTCTTTTGGAGAAGCTTTTGTGATGAGACTGAGAAACCTTCATGTTTCCACTAAAATAATTCCCTTTTCCTTTTTTCACTTCTAGGGAGCTCAAGGTTTGAGAGGCATCACTGGCGTAGTTGGAGACAAGGGGGAAAAAGTAAGATGATGATAATGATATCAAAATGTATTAAATACTTAAAAGTTTGGAAATTTAAAAGTAACTTGTCTTAAGCAACACCACTTTTTACTTGATGCTTTGTAGATGTGGGTTAGGTTCTCACAATTCTGTTGTAAGCGCAGGTGACAGAAAAGAGCAGTATGCATAATACTTGTCATGTACCCTTGTCTCTTGGTGTCCAAGAGGAATTGGTTATAGGACTCTCCCCATAGATATCAACATTTCTGGTTGCTCAACTCCCTTATATCAAATGGCATAGTATTTGTATATAATCTACAAACATCTCGGTATACACTTTAAATCATCTCTATTATTACTATTAAATACCTAATAAAACTGTACATGTTTCAATACAGATACAATTAAAAATAGTTTCTCTCTGCAGTTGGTTGAATCCATAGATACAGAACTCATGGATATGCAGAGCCACCTGGGTTAGATATTTTAAATTACTTGTGTAAGTTAAAGTGGAGTTGCTGCATTTTCTCTCTGTCATTGTCAGTACTTAGTGGAGATAACACTGACACATTGCCTGAGTGCTTCTGGCCAAGCAAAGCCAAGAAAGGGCAGGCCAGAGAAAGAGGTGACAGAGGCAGGATATCCCCAAGGACACTAGGACCTTTTAACAGGAGTCCCCCACTGGTGGCTGGAGCCCGGCAACCTACTCTTAGCACAGTCTCAGAAACCAGTCTCTTGGCATTTCCATCGCAAGGCACTTTGCAACTTCTGGGAAGATTGGAAGCACAATAAGGTCTTCAAGGAGTACATTGTTTTTTTGGGAGAGACATTTAAGTAGATAGCTCAATGTAATAAAAGCAACCGAGACTCAGAGTCCATCTGAGGGCAAATGGTATGAGGGAGTGCAAATGAAGCAGTAGCTCACTTGGATGGGGAACTTGGAGGGCCCATGTAGGAGGTGGCATTAGAAGGATGCTGGGTCTGGAAAGGTGACATGTTGCCACTGGTGATGGAAGCAGGGCAGCCAATGCTTGGCAGAGTGAATACCTAAGGAAAGAGTGGAAACCTGAACATTCATAATATACTTAGAACTTTTCTTTTGGTGTGTATATATGTACGAGTGTGTCTAGGTTCTTTATCAGGTTTTAAGAAAAATGGTTACTAGTTCTTAGAAAACATTGTTAGGCAAGGCCAATTTGTAAGCCCTGAAAAAAACCCCAAAAACGTCTTTGTCCACCCTGACTTCTGCCTGGCCTCCATGTAAGACGCTCAATGGCTGACTGTCAGTTCCATGCGTCAGCACTGAGCCTTTTATCACCAATGAAATAACAGTAAATTGCACATTGTTGATGCTCAATGAGTGGAATTAAAGTTTGTTTTCTTTTTACAAGAGATGCGCATTTTGGATTGTGCATCTCCCTTTCAATTTCACATTTTTTTCAGGCTCTTTGTCTCATTTAGGTGTTTTGATTCTGCCTGCCTTTCTCTTCCATCTCCTTTACTATATTTTTCTTGAAATACATGGTATTCTTATAAACATATTAAAGGATTGTGTACTTCTGTATTTATGTTACCATGTGTATATCTTCTTGTATTAAGTATTGAAGCCAATTTATTTTGAAGCTGCTGATATTTAGGCATTCACTTTTTCTGGATTTAAATCATCCCGCAAATGTGTGACCCCTCTCTTTGAAACCAATTGCTATTAATGATATGCTCTTATTTAAAGGTATTTTTTATTTCATATTTTTCCAAATTTCTCATTTCTTTTGATTTCTGTCAAATTGCTTTTTTAAAAAAAGCTCTTCTTGTGAACTCAGACCGATGGAGTGGTTACCTAGTAACAGCAGTTTGGGCCTGAGCTCACGCTGAACAGCAATAAGAGAGACAGAGAGCGAGTGCATCAAAGCCATTTCTATAATGCAAAGGCCAGGCTCTGCTCTGGTAATGCAAGGTGAATGATGAATTCAAGGTCTTTTTCAGGTCTTCCAAATCCTTTCTTCCATGGTGAATGTAGATGCCTTCTGCTCTGTTCTCGTTTTTAAGGATCAAAGAATTTCAAGGCTTTATGGTCCCTCTGCTTCCATTGTCTTTTTTTCTTTGATTTATACCTATGTCTGAACCTTCTACGACCTTCTGTGAAAGGTTTTCTAATTTTTAATTCTTACTGCAGACACTGTCCACCTGGTTTTTTTGGCCTGACATCCATCCAATTGTCATCCAATGCTTTTGACAGTTCTCCATTTATTTTATCATCTCTCCATCTCAACCTGGTTCATGAGGAAACTGCCTGTTCACCCAGTTGTCCTTTACCTTTTCACTTAATAGTCGAGAACAAGATTTAAAGAAAGGGGTAGTGTTTCGTCAGGCAACATGTTGAGAGCACTAAAAAACACTGTATTTTGTTTTAAAATCACATTTTAATTCTTAAAATGAAAATAAGGAGATCTACATAGCACCTAGGCAAGTCAGGACTCATTCCAAGATGATTAGGTTTATAAAACCTTGGGGGGTAGTTCTTTTTTTTTTTTTTTTTTTGACAGGCAGAGTGGACAGTGAGACAGAGAGAGAGAAAGGTCTTCATTTTGTCGTTGGTTCACCCTCCAATGGCCACCACGGCCGGCGTGCTGTGCTGATCGGAAGCCAGGAGCCAGGTGCTTCTCCTGGTCTCCCATGGGGTGCAGGGCCCAAGGACTTGGGCCATTCTCCACTGCACTCCCGGGCCACAGCAGAGAGCTGGCCTGGAAGAGGGGCAACCAGGACAGAATCCGGCGCCCCATCCGGGACTAGAACTCGGTGCGCCGATGCCTCAGGTGGAGGATTAGCCCATTGAGCCGCGGTGCCGGCTGGGGGTAGTCCTTATGTCTCACTTGGTAGGATGGACCTGTTGTTGAGAAAATATGAGAGCTATTTTTCTTTATAAATGGAACCAAACATGTACCCAGACTGGGAGAGAGTATGCTCAGGTCCTTCTACTGTTCGGTCCTGAAATCTCAAGCCTGGACATTTAAGTCTAGATCTTTGTGGGTGATTTAAAGTCCCAGAGGTCCCTACCACAACTGTGGCAGCACAGAGTCCATGGCAGCTATTTGTAGTATGGGACCATGGCCTTCACAAATGAGAACCCTCAAAGGTGCTGGACATCTGATCTAGAACAAGTATTGTTATCTCAAGACAGCAGATAACAATGGATGCCATGTTAAAATATCTAGTGTGGTATCAAAGATTGGATTTAAGATTGTGATGAGTGGTTGTAAACTAGTACTTGCATAACTGAGATGTCTGGTTAAATATGCTCCAAATAAAAAAAGCCTCTTGTAATCTGTCTGCTGTATTTCCTTAGACAGGTGTGCCGTTTAATATCCATGACTTATTTCCATTTCATTTTTATTTTATTTTATTTTTTTTTTGCAGGGTGCTCGCGGCTTAGATGGAGAACCTGGACCTCAGGGTCTTCCTGGTGCACCTGTAAGTGATCTTTCTTACACAAAACTCAATGGGATATTTTAGGCAATGATCTTTTTTTTTTTGCTGTACATTATATATTTACATGTTTGCAAATATCATGTACATGTGAATAAATGAAAACATGGATGTAAGTTTTTATTTAAAAATTGCTAAGTAAGCCAATCATCACTTGCAGACAGAGGGTTGATATGTTTCTCTGTGAGTTAAATTGGTAAATATTTATATTTGCCTTTTGCTTTGGTTGTCAGGATGCTTAGAGTCACAGTGACTGTCTCCTGCACAGACTTTGGATAATTCTACCCTTTTTATTCCCTATAGTTTATGCTTCACTTTTCTATATTTTGATTATCAGAGTTATGGGTGTCATTGTTACAGGCTACTATAAGCCTTTTTTGAAGGTAAACAGGCAAAGAAGCCATCCATCACCTATATCACATAAACATTGAAAAGGTACAAGTAAAAAAGAGTTTCTAGTTATCAAGTTCCTATGAATGAGTGGTAAAACAGAATATAGCTCAGTGATAATCTATAGGGTCTAGAAAGTACTAGAGGTAACCCGTGCAAGGGGACCTTAGAGGAAGGCTGACCTGGAAAGCCATCCTGGGTATGCTGTAAGAGGGACCCTGTCTGTGGTGGTAGGGGTGTGTGTGCAGTCATAGAGGCTGTCACTGTGTTTGTGTTGAAGATGAGATTGAATAAAGTAGAGCCACAATTTGGGGAACACGTAATGCCAATATGAGCAATCAGTACTGATCTAGTGGCCATCGGGAGCTATTTGAGCTTTCAAAGTAGGTAAGCAATTCAACAAAAGCTGTTTTTACAAAGACGTGTCCTCTCCTCTATGACTACCTAAGCCATCCAGCAATGTTAGCTGGAAAATTTTGGCAGACACTTTTTGACTGAGGAATGAAATAAAAATGGAGAAAAGATTGGCAAATCATCTAAACCTCAAGCCACCCAAATAGTCAATGAGATTAGCTGATGTTTAGATGTAGTAGTTACTGATGTCATTGCTTGTACTATGGACCAAATGTTGTTATACATGTACATCCAAAGAGTATGGTAACATTATATATTTAAAATGAAAGCAAAAGACCTGCAGGTCTCAGTTGTACAAATGGCTGCCTCAATTTTTTAGACAAAATGATTTTTATAAAAACTGTTTTTGAGGTAGGTATCTAGGATAGATAGACCAAAGCCATTGTGGTGTCTGAACAATAGTTAAATAATGTGGATGATTTCCAGTTTTAAAAAGTCTATGAATGAATAACCTTGGATTATATTAACGAAATTCTATTTTCATATAGGGTGATCAAGGACAGCGAGGACCTCCTGGAGAAGCAGGTCCCAAGGGAGATAGAGTGAGTTCCCTACAAGCATCCTGCTTTTCAGTGTCTTCTGTTGTTTATGCTTATCTATTTGACTTGTCCTAAGTATTGTGATTACTGAACATGTCCTATTCTTTCTCTTCTATTCTACAGGGGGCTCAAGGTTTGAGAGGAATCCCTGGCCCCCCTGGACCCAAAGGAGATGCGGTATGTACTGAGCTGTAGTCGTCAAACTAGATTTTTTTCAAAGTGATTACTGACTTGTGCTAAAACTTTAGAAAATAGTAAGAAGAATGTGACTGTTTTAAAGAAACTATTTTTCTGTGTATGTCCTTAGGGCTTGCCAGGTGTGGATGGCCGTGATGGAATACCTGGAATGCCTGGAACAAAGGTAGCTGTGTGGTTTGGTACAAGAGTGAATGGGGCTGCTTTGGTCTTGGCTGACTGGCTTCAGCATTTCCATTACCACATCTCCAGGAAATTTATTTAGCCAGCTTTGGCTTTTTTCTTCCTCTTAATTTTAAAATCAAGTTTCAAATCCAAAACATACTAGAATAGCATCTTTATTTGCTTGTTTTTAGGAATTCAGTAAAAGTGCCCCATTAGTGAAAGTAGACTGAGGAAAATAGTGTTTTAGCTTGAATTTATGTACCGTGTCCTGCGCTACCCTTGCCCCGGATTAAGTCACGTTGTAAAAGTGCATATAAGGACAGCTAATGGAATAATCCTTTTACTTTGGTCTGTGCCCTCATTTTCTTAGAACAAATAGTGGTACAACAATTCATCTGGGTTCAGTGATACGATCACATTTTTTTTTTCTTCAGGGTGAACCAGGGAAACCTGGACCTCCTGGTGATGCGGGACTACAGGGATTACCGGTAGGTATTTGATTCTTCACATGTTTATTAGTTTCTTTGCATGTTTTAAAGATCTGACCTTTGGGAACAGATGTATAATTTGATAAATTCTAGGAAAGATATAGAGTTTTACTTTTACATTTACAATCAATATTTTTGAGCTTTTTCTCTGAGTAACTAGTGATGCCTCTATTAACTATGTAAAGTAACTCTTAATTTTATGTTTTGGATCCCTTTTCTTTGATTAGTTGACTATGTTGTCTTTGTTTATTTTTACTGACCCTGAGCTGTGGGCCAGTATCAGATACTTTGTCCTCTTTTTCACCAGTTTTGGAGGTCTTGTTAGCAGTCCTGTGCCACAAGAGGGTTGAGAGTATTTTTAGGGCACAGTGTGAAATATGATTTTTGGATTATGTACTATTTGATGTGCTAAAATAAATGTTTCCCTGAATTGATGTGGTTGGACCCTCAAGTGAATTGTACCACATGTGTTCTTGGCTCTTGAAAGGCAAATGTCTCAAGCTAGCAGGATGTTTGGATCATATGGTAGGTCTGTTTTCAGATTTCTGAGCAATCTCCATACTGTCTACCATATGGTTGTACGAGTTTATATTTCTACCAACAGTGTATTAGGGTACCTTGTTCTCCACAGCCTCGGCAGCATTTGTTATTTTTGCATGACAACCATTCTAACTAGGGTGAGGTGAAACCTGGTTGTGGTTTTTATTTGAAAATGCAGGCATCTTAACTGTTGTTTTAACCACAAGCCTAAATACCCATACCTGCCCAGAGTCTTTGATAGGACCTCACTTTATTATTCTGTACATAAAGTCATGTCTTTTTTTTTTTTTTTGGACAGGCAGAGTGGAAAGTAAGAGAGAGAGATACAGAGAGAAAGGTCTTCCTTTGCTGTTGGTTCACCCTCCAATGGCCGCCATGGCCGGCGCGCCGCGCTGATCCCAAGGCAGGAGCCAGGTGCTTCTCCTGGTCTCCCATGGGGTGCAGGGCCCAAGCACTTGGGCCATCCTCCACTGCATTCCCAGGCCACAGCAGAGAGCTGGCCTGGAAGAGGGGCAACCGGGACAGAATCCGGCGCCCCAACCGGGACTAGAACCCGGGGTGCTGGCGCCGCAGGCGGAGGATTAGCCTATTGAGCCGCTGAGCCGGCCTGAAGTCATGTCTTACCCCTATAAGGATTAATTTGCAAGAGCTCCTGTTGATGTGAAAATGGTACCAAATTCTAATTTGAAAATTCATCTTTGAGGAAAAAAATCCCTTTAGTTGAGGGTAGGATTTCCCTTATGGTGTTCAGCCTTACTAAGCCAGATACAGCAGTGTAATGCCATCCTACACGCTGGGTAGTTCTATAACTGATTTGCAGAGTTTGGGATCTAGGCGGCGTCTCTCCCACACTAAGCTTCGAGATTGTCATGATTCCTTCAGCCTCTCAGCAGTGTGTGGCAGGCTTGGCATCTCACGGATTCCCAGATGAGGTGATTAAACCCAGATTCTTGTGTGCCTGCTTTCAGGGTATACCTGGACTTCCTGGTGCAAAGGGTGTTGCCGGTGAAAAGGTAAAACATTCAAACCTTTACATTAACATTTTTCTTTATTTCTTTGTTCTTTTATTAACATATTTTCTTTATCTTTTTGATATTTCCAACCTGCCTTTTATTTTGTATTTAACCCTATGGAGAAATTAAAAAGTAAAAGCTTTATATCTTCAAATGCTAATCTTTTCCTATCTGCAGAAAGAAGACTTTGATCAAGTGTTGCTGACTAGACTTCCTTTATAAGAATGTCATGCTTTGCCCGTATAAAACACAGAAAGTTTTGTTTCTGATCACTTAAAATAAGGAAGATACTAAGCCATTGAACTTGTCAGAGTGTTGGGATAAACTATCTTAGAATATATTGCATTTTGTTCCTGTACTGATAAACTGATGCTTATATTCTATACACAGAATTATAGCACAAGCAATTAAAAATAATAGATGAAAAAAAATGTAAGAGATAAAATATAGCTTGGCTTTGGGATCAAACAGATCAAGTGTGACTAATGTAGAACTTGATCATTATTAGATTAGATGACTAGAGCCCTCCCATCATAGTCTTCTGCATTGTCTTGAGCAGAAATGGTCCCCAACAAGCAGATGGTGAGGGACTGATGTGGAGATGGAGTCTCCACACATATGCTTTTTTTTTTGACAGGCAGAGTGGACAGTGAGAGAGAGAGATACAGAGAGAAAGGTCTTCCTTTGCCGTTGGTTCACCCTCCAATGGCCGCCGTGGCCGGCACACCACGCTGATCTGATGGCAGGAGCCAGGTGCTTCTCCTGATCTCCCATGGGGTGCAGGGCCCAAGTACTTGGGCCATCCTCCACTGCACTCCCTGGCCACAGCAGAGAGCTGGCCTGGAAGAGGGGCAACCGGGACAGAATCCGGCGCCCCGACCGGGACTAGAACCTGGTGTGCCGGCACCGCAAGGCGGAGGATTAGCCTAGTGAGCCGCGGCGCCGGCCTCCTTGAGTCTTAATCATTTTAATAGTGTCATTGTGAGGCAAGAGGGCCCAAAGAAGTATATTGGTGGTGGGAATGGTAAAGACATATATAATTAATTTTATGAAGAAAAAATCCTCAAATGGAAGGAAATTCTTTTATTTTTAAAAAGACTGTTATTATTTAAAAAAAATTTAAATTTATTTTTATTTCAGAGGGAGAGAGAGAGAGCCTCTATCTGCTAATTCATCCCCTAAATGCCTGCAACATTTGGGGGTGGGGCAGGTCAGAGCTACGATCTGGGAACTCAGTGGAGGTCTCCCATGTGGGTGGCAGGGATTCAACTCCTTGAGCCATCAGGTGCAGCCTCCCAATGTGTGCATGAGCAGGAAGCTGGATCAGGAGCTGAGCAGGGACTTGAACCTAGGCACTCTGATTTGGGGTGCAGGTATCTCAAGTGACATCCTGATTGCTACACCAAATACCCTGGGAATCCCTTTTTGAAGGCTAAAGACCTTCATTTTCTGATATTTAAATTTAATATACTTCTGGGACTAAAAGATAGTATCCTAAATCTAAAGGACTTTGATATACCCACTATTTAAAAGATTCTACATACTCATAAATTCTCAAAGAACATCAGAAAATGAATAATACTTAAATGTAAGAAATGCCTAATTTGAATAAGATAGTTTTTTTAAAAGATTTATTTATTTATTTGAAAGGTAGAGTTAGAGTTAGAGAGACAGAAATCTTACATCCACTGGTTCACCCTGCAATGGTGGCAATGACCAGGGCTGGGACAGGCTGTTGCCAGGAGATCCCTTTGGGTCTCCCGTGTGGGTCCAGGGATGCAGCTGCTTGAACCATTTTCTTTTGTTTTCTCAGGAGTATCAATAAGTGGCTAGATTGGAAGTAGAGCAGCCTGGACTTGAACTGGCACCCATATGGGATGCTGGCACTGCAGGCCATGGCTTAACCAATTGTGCCACAGTGCTGGCTGAATAAGACAGCTGGATGATCATGCTTATGTACAAGACAAATTAACTTTGCATGTTGTATTTTGTCTCTAGGGTAACACAGGTGCTCCAGGAAAGCCTGGTCAACTGGGAAATTCTGGCAAACCGGTAAGATGCTGTCTGACCCCTCATAAGTTAAAACCTGTTGTGATCATGAAGCAAAGGATTAGTGGTTTTTTAACATTTTCTCCACCTGTCTGCCTCAAAACAGGGCCAACAAGGGCCTCCAGGAGAAGTGGGACCCCGAGGACCCCGGGGGCTTCCTGTGAGTACTCATTTTTCTACAGTGCCTTTCCAAAATGCCTTCTCAGGATTTTGGTGGACCTCCCTCCACTCATCCATTCATCCATCCATCCATCCACCCACCCATCCATCCATCCATCCATCCATGAATGCCTTCTCATGTTTGAGTATGTGCTGGTGCAGATAAACAACAAAATGGGGATGCTATATAGATATACACTATGTCTTCTTTCTGAAAATAATAACAAAAATGAAGTATTTAAAAGAACCATGATGACATTTCCTGTTCTCATCCTATATTGAAAGATATATTTTAGTAAGGTTTAAAAAATCTTTTTACTGAGATATAACTCACATACATGTAATTTGTCCATTGAATGTGTACACATTTTAGTGTAGTCATATAATTAACCATCATGACAGACAATTTTAGAACACATTTATCACTCAAAAAAGAAACCCTGGGCCCATCTGCAATTATTCAGCATTTCCTCCCAATTCCTGCAGCTCTACGCAAACACTAATCCATTTTCTGTATCTATAGATTTGCTGATCCTGGAAATTTTACAAAAATAGAATCATACGTGGATTTTTAAAAAAAATAATTTGTGGCTCAGCATAATGTTTCAAGGTTTATCTATGCTGTAGCATATATAAATACTTCATTTCTTTGTATGGCTGAATAATATTTAATTGAATGAGATATTTGGATATGTCACATTTGATCAGATCATTTGGTGAGAGATGTTTTGATTTTTTTTTTCTTTTTTTGGCCATTATGAACAATGCTGCTATGAACATTTGTATACAAGTTTTTGTGCAGATATGTTTTAATCTATCTAAAGTATATAATTACAAGTGAAATTTCTGGGCCACGTGGTAAATCTATTTAATCTTTTGAGGAACTTCTAGACTTCTTTTACTGTGAGTCTACCGTGTAGCAGGTATAGCAGTGTATATCTTCTCACAAGATACAGTCAAACCCTTAGAGAAAAAGTAAATAAGAAATTAAATTTCATGTACTTGTATTTGACTTAAAAATTCTCTCTGGCCTTCAGTTCCACTTTTTATTTTCAAAGTCTGATGACAAAAATGACAACACAATTCCCAAGACCCTGAGGAATGGTGGTGCCCCTGGTCTGCGCCCATCATCATATGGTGTTTCCCACTTAATTGTCAGTGGATTTCTACAGACAGTAGAAATCCTAGTTTTCCTTATTTCTACCTGGTTCAGATCCTGTGTTCAAGTCAGGCTGTGCTCCATGCTAATTCCCAATTACTCTGCATTCCCAGCCTGCCTGTTTGCTTTTATGTTAGACCCTGCATTGAGATGGCTCATTTTCCCATTTCCGATTGAACACTCCATGTACCCTCCTAGGTATAATGAGATGTTAATTCTACAATGAACACATCTCTGATTATACCTTAACCCCATAGAGAATTAATCTCTTTATTCTGAATGCTGTAATCCTTAATTCTTTTGTACCCCACCCTGTGGTGACTGCAGGAAGGCGGGGACACATCTGGGTCACCTCTGTGTTCCCTGCATCTCTTTAGCCAGGGCCTGCCAGAAGGCAGTGCTCAATAAATATTTCCTGAAATGAACTGGCTTGGAGGCATAATAAATCATACTATGTTGCTTTTGTTGGTAATAATTGCTTTCTCACCTGCTATAAATTTTTCAGAAAAATGTTATGATAGGTCATAAATATTGTAATTCTGGGGTGGAGTTTTAACACCAAATCTACTTACTTAAAGATACATTTGTTCTTTCACTTTACATCATTAAGTTGAGGTTTATAGATAAGTTCACACACTTTCAACTATGCCTCACAAGTTTGATGAGCTTTTCCTGCAAATCTCAAGTCAAGCTGAGTAGAAGGAATGAGAACATAATTCCAACGTGTCCTAGGAGCACATCTTCAAAATTAAGTGATATTTCCATCAACATTTGTGAATATCACTGCAACAATATTATTTCTTTGGCACTCCAGTGATTTGGTACAAGCACCTTATCTTTAGCACTTAGGCTACACTTGGTCCAGCACGCTCTGCTTGTTTTGTACTTGGTCTGAGTGGCTCCTGGTTGAGAGAAGACAGATTCTACCATGCAGCGGCTACTGGTCCATCTCTGTCTTCCAGGCTTTTCAGAACTTGAGGGAGCTTTTGCTGAGTGTATGGTTTGTTCTGTTCTCTTCCTTCAGACTGGGGTGAATGCCAGGCTGATCTGTGTTCTGAGTTCTGAAGATCACATGTTCCTGGGGTGCAGAAGCCTGTCTCACTTCTCTTATTTGTTTTTTAAAGATTCATTTATTTATTTGAAAGTCAGAGTTACACCAAGAGAGGAGAGGCAGAGGGAGAAATCTTCCATCCGCTGGTCCACTCCCCAGATGGCTGCAACGGCCGGAGCTGAGCTGTTCCGAAGCCAGGAGCCAGGAGCTTCTTCCAGGTCTCCCACATAGGTGCAGGGGCCCAAGCATCTTCTACTGCTTTCCCAGGCCATAGCAAAGAACTGCATCGGAAGTGGAGCAGCCGGGTCTCGAACCAGTGCCCATATGGGATGCCGGCACTTCAGGCCAGGGAGTTAACCTGCTGCGCCACAGTGCTGACCCCCTTACTTCTCCTATAATCTCTTGCTTCATCCCAACACCAACAACCTCAAGCACAGAAGCCCCACAGAGGGTGTGGTTAGACACATTGGCTGCCCTCCCATCATACCTAGGACCTGATGGGCTACTTCTGTTGATAATTCATGAAGCTGCTGTGTGTTACAGTTATATTTTAGATGTATTTCTTTTTCCTTTTTTAAAGAAAGATTTATCTTTAAAGGTTTATTTATTTATTTGAAAGTCAGAGTTACATAGAAAATGAGAGGCAGAGAGAGGGAGAGAGAGAGGTCTTCAATCCACTGGTTCATTCCCCAATTGGCCACAATGGCTGGAGCTGTGGGAGCTCCGTGAATCCGAAGCCACTAAGCCAGGAGCTTCTTCTAGTTTTCCCACATGGGTGCAGGGGCCCAAGGACTTGGACCATCTTCTACTGCTTTCCCAGGCCATAGCAGAGAGCTGGATCGAAAGTGGAGCAGCCGGGTCTCGAACCAGCGCCCATATGGGATACCTGCACTAGAGGTGGCAGCTTTACCCACTATGCCGCAATGCTGGCCCCCAAAGATTTATTTATTTGAAGGGCAGGGTGACCCAGCAAGGCAAAGACACAGAAAGGGAACTTCCATCTGTTGGCTCCCTCCTCAAATGACTACAACAGCTAGGGCTGGGGCAGGCTGAAGCCAGGAGCCTGGAACTCCATCCAGATCTCCCATTTGAGGTCCAAGTTCTGGGGCCATCTTCCACTACCTTCCCAGGCACGTTTGCAGGAAGCTATGTCAGAAGCAGAACAGCCAGGACTTGAACAAGCACTTCTATATGGTATTCCAGTGTTGCAAGCAACAGCTTAACCCTCTGCACCACAATGCTGGCCCCCTACATGTATTTCTTGTGTGTCTCTATGTGAAGGAATATTTAAACCTACACAGGAAATGAAACACAAACTATGTAATGTTGCAAAACTGGATTTAAAAATTACCTTTGTGACAAATCTAAAAGTTATCATTATAGAGTTACTATTAGAATCATCCAAGGCTGATGTGAAAGTGGGTTTGTAGAAGTTATAATTTATCTCTTGAGTTATCAGCATTCCTCTTGCCACAGAGAGGCACTTAATACATGGTACAGACTAGGTATAGTTACTTATAATTTCCTACTTCTAAAATTGATAGGCTATGAAGACAGGGTTCATTCTGCAGCTAGTTGACATTTTGGGTAATTGGAGAAATACAACAGCCATTGCAAGCTAGGGCACAGTGAAATAAAATCCATTTTTTTGGGAAGGTAGAATTAATTTACTCAAATTTAATTATTTTCTGTGATCATTTAAAAGTCACTTAGTTTTGTTTTGAAAGGGAAACATTGTATATATTTATGGAGATGATTTTTACAGAGCAGTACCCAGGACTTGTGTGTAACAAAGGTGTCTACTGGGTGATCAATGTATTGAAGAGATAAGAAATAGGAATTTTTTTTTAAAAAAAAAGCACAAATTGTGCTTTTAAACAGAGATGGGTGATTCAAAAGGCAAACATTTAATTAGACATTTAATTGTAGCAAATAATTTTGAATGACGTCTTTAGTAATTATCTCAGTTAAAAATAAAAACTAACACTACTGGAGTGCTTACTATGAGCCAGGCACTGTTCTATGAGATTTACGTGTCATTACTTATTCAGTCTTCACAAAACTGCTATGAAGTCTGTCCTGTTTTAATCTCTGTTTTATCAATAAGAAAACTTAGACGCAGAGAGTTTAGATTTCTTGCCTGAAAGTTATCAGCTGGTACGTGATAAACGCAGCTTCATCCCTGACAATGGGGCTCTGTGTCCACATGTGGGCTCTGTGTCTTTGTCATGCCTCAGCAGCTCAAGTTGTAGGTCTGCAAGCTGTGTTTCATTTGAAGGTTGATTGCCAAATTCTGATGGTACAAGACATTCAGCACATTGTAAATTTAGTATTTGTGGAACTTGAGTGGTGAGCATTTAACAGCGTCTAAGCAAAGCTCCTAAAGACAAACAAATATGACAGAAACCCAAAGAGATTCCTGGGCCTTTCTCCAAAGGGAGAGAGGGGGTTGAATAAAGATAGTGAATGAGGAGACGAGGTGGTGGAAGACACACAGTATATACTCCTGTTTCTAAGAAAAGGGATTCTTATACCCGACCATAGTTGGTGATCATGATAGAGGCTCTGCATTATGGTTTCCCCCCAGAAACCTTTTAAGGTATATATACTTCATTTATTTTATAAATACAAATTGAGGAGCATAGTGATTCTTCCCATCCTACCCTCCCTCCCACCTGTACCATGACCCTTCTTTCTCTTTCCTCTCCTATTCCAATTCTTATTTTTTACTAAGATCTATTTTCTATTAACTTTATACAGATAATACTGATCCTACACTAAGTACAGAGTTCAGCAAACAGTATAACAAAAAACTGCATCATTTTTAAAACTTTGATTGGCTTGCTGCATGGGGATGAATTGGCAGATGTGTCTGAACATGTTGGAAATGTGTGTGGCAGACCAGTGCCTCCAAGAAAAGCATAAAGCCTTTTATTATAGTCTAATATTTCAAAAATTCTATTTCTCTTCATGAAGTGCTTTACAAAAATTGTTGATTTATTAGAGACAAGGGTGGTAGGAGCAGGGAGGGAGAGAGACTCCTAGTTACTGGTGCACTGCCAAAATGATTCCAACAGTCAGGACTGGGCCAGGATGAAACTGATAGCCAAGAACTCAACCTAGGTTTCCCTGTGGCTGGCTAAGACCCAACTACCTGAGCCGTCATCTGCTGCTGCCTCCTAGTGTCAGCTTAGCAGAAAGCTGGAGTCAGGAGTTGGAGGTAGGTCTCGAACCATGTACTCTGATATGGGATGCAGGAGTCTTAACCACTATGCCAGATGCCCATCCCTGTTCTCACATTTTTGATGGTGGGATTTTGCCTTTATTCTGGCTTCTTCTGGTCCTCTTGTTAACTCAAGACAACATGAGTATTGAGTTTTTTCTTTCCCACTGGGAAGAATAGCTGCTTCCCTAGCAGCCTCCCTGACCCACATTCAAGGATGTGGTTGTCACTATAGCTGCTGAAGTGTAAGTTTACCATTTATTGAGCATACTTGCGGTTACTAAGGCCATGACTAATGACTCTCTGCAGAATGTATTTATGTTTTTAGAGATTATTATTTGTATTTTGATTACTCATGTAAGTCTTGGTTTATTTGGTGAAATTCCAGGATTTAGAGAAGGTGTATGCATGTTTTTAGAACACACAGAAATCCCAAGAATGGCTGCCAGAACTCTTGTCCCAATATCTTGTTTGTAACTGTTTGGTAACTGTTGTGAGGATAAAAATTACTGGTTTTCATAGAGTAGAAATAGCTACAAGTAGAACTGCTGAGGATTTAAAGGAGAGGAGTGAAATAAAAATGAGGAATCACATTGCTATTTGTGCAGTAACAGAAGAGTAAATGCCAATAATTTCTTTGCTTCTTCTCCCAGTCCTACACGTGTTGGACTCCAGTGGGTTCACAAATTCAGCAGAGCAGTCTCTGTATATGCTGTGGCTCTGAGCCATTCATATGTATTACCAAGGACCTGCTAGTGGTGGGAAAGAACCTATGAACTAAATAATAAGAATTTATGAAAGGCAGAGAAAATAAGATTCTAGCAGAGAAAATTTTTGTCTTTGGCTTAGGGGATAATTAATCCTTACAAAATTAAATCAAAGATTATAACAGTCCTTTATTTTATCCTGTTGGTTTATGGAAGAGAAAGAAAGTACATTAATCATCTTTATTTTGGATGAGATAGCATAATGCTAATTTAGTTAGGAGTGAAGACTTACAATTGTGTGAAGCACTGAGCTTTCCCCTTTGGATATTACTAATTTGTTCTTCTACCAATGACTAGTGGATTAAACTCATATTAGCCAAATAATATTTAGGGTCTCAATCATGATACAGTTGAGAAATTACTTGAAAATGCCATTAGAGCATATATACTGAAGGAAACCTGTCTTGAACTTTGAAGTTCTGAGCTAAATTAATGGGCTGAAACCCAATCTTGTTATTTATAGATGGATTGAGGGATCTCACTGTGATTGGTTTTCATCTAGACTTACGTCTTTACAGCATCAATGCTCACAGGGCACTGTCTCTGGTTCCTAAGCTGTTTTAAGGGCTCAGCACCAGTATTTCAAACTTACATATCAGACAAGTTGTTAATACAAAAATTGCTGAAATGTATTTAAGAGCATTTAGTTTAAATTATCTATAAATCACATGAAATGATTATCATGAAATTAGCACTTACTGCTAGAGCTATAATTACAATTTGGCAAACATTTCTTAATCCTTTAGAGAAATTGAAAATTCAAAATGTTTATAGATGTTGACACCTTCTTCAACTTAGATGAATGAAGAGAATATGAGTCAGAACAGTATAATCTTATTAGAAGCTTTTATAAATAATAAGCATTAATAAAGAATTATGCTATTTTAAAGAAAAACAACTCAAGGGACTCTTTTAATATCGTTATTTAATAACTTGGGTTCAGCTTAGTTGAATGTATGTTGTAAATAAGCTTTTATCAGAACACGTAAAATTGTATGAAGTCCTGGGGGAAATAAACTGAACAGTTCCTGTAAATTCTTTTCTCAAAAGTTTCAGAAAACTTAGATTTTAAATAAAAATTTGAATACTTAGTTTCAAAAAAATTGAAATTGACTTACAAAATCAATGTTGCTTTTAGTATATCCTCATTATGACTTGACTTTTCAAAGTCTAGTCTTTTAAGACATATTTAGAGCAAGAATGAATAGAACAAAGAATTTTTTATTTCAATTACTTTGTAAATGTCTACTGTCTGTGTCTTGAGATTACAATAGTAATTTAAAGACAGACATCCATCTTCCACATTTCTCTTCTCACTCTTTTGAGGTCTTAGATAATTTGCATGATGTTGCTTTAAAAGTTTGTGTCCTGAACATTTACTTCTTATTCTAGACACTGTGTAGAAAGTCAAAATTGATATGCCTGAGGAACATATAGTCCAAGTGAGAGGATAAAATATGTACACAAATACCCACACTATAAATTAGAATCTGATGTAGATGCTTAAAGTTACTAATTGCTATTTCTTATACATGTATCAGATATTAATTTTAAAAGTCTATAATCTCAACTAGAACGTTCAATGAAAGATATTGTAGGTACCTTATATGATGGACAGATACTTTGAAGACCTTAGCGAAAGCTCAAGCATATACATAGGAATTAAGCATGTGAATTTTAGCAAAATATCCAGTTGACAATGATGTTTGGTTTTTACAGGGCAGTAGAGGTGAAGTAGGACCAGTCGGAGCTCCAGGCATACCAGGCAAATTGGTAAGTGATGCTTCCATTCCTCAGATGTTTACTTTCTACAAAACACATTCTTACAAATGAGCAAGGAGAAAAAACCAATTACAGAAGGCCACTTAATCAGCTGTACTGGATGTCTGTGGTATGAATGTGTGAAAATATAGGTGTGTAATTTCAAATTATTTCTAGGTAAAATTTAACCCATGTGGGTTTTGCAGTACAGGGAAATATTGCTAGAGGCATTTTGGCCTCTGGTTGTTCTTGGAATTGAGGAAGTCCGCAGGTGAATGGTGAATGCTGCCTTTGACTTCTTGCACAGTCTTGTTTACACAGAAGGAGCAGCATCTGTGCTCTTGCAGGAGCTTGGCTGAAAGAGCCCACTGTTGCGCAGGAGTGCACAGCGATGTAGGGCCTTCAGGGTGGGATGGAGAACAGGAGGGCACAGGCCCTTCTGAGAATGTGGGAGAAGAGGCAAACGCCAGGAGCAGAGTTAAACCAACCACAGCACATTTATTTTAGACATGAGTCAGTATACGCAAGGTTGTGTCTGGCTCGTGTGTCTCCGGTACTGCTGTGACAGTGACTCTGGGGACTTTGTTTATTTTCCAGGGTTCTGTTGGCAGCCCCGGCCTCCCTGGCTTGCCTGGCCCTCCTGGACTTCCTGGAATGAAAGGTGACAGGGTAAGCTTTTCAGCAATCCACACAATTCTTTTTTTAGAAGGGTGATTTCTACTATGTCAAGAAGTCAAACTTTCTTTTGACCCAATGGAGAATTTTTCTAGAATTTATCATAGAAATCTATCAAGAAAGGTATTTTAAATCACTCAGAGTTGAGAGTACGAATCAAAATTATTAATGTAATAATTCATCAGATAGAAAAAACTGAAATAAGTTAGCATTTTAGTTTTAATCATGTGTTCTATTCATTCTAAATTTGTATTCCTGTATGCTAAGTCTTTCATGGCTGTAATCAGAGGATGCCCCAAATTACCAGCAATTCTGACAACTATCAGTTTCTTCAGATCTTCTTGCTTCTTGTTATATTAGGTGGGGAGGTGTGGGGAAGTTCTCTCTAATCACATTATCCATATTTATACCATCCACCAGCAAAATAAGGGAGGTTGATTCATTTGAAATTCTATAAACACCTCAAAATACTGAAAAATGTATTTTATTCTTTGCAGGGAGCAGTTGGTGAAGCTGGGCCAAAGGGCGAACAGGTAGGTTCTATTATTTGATTAGTGTGAAATGCAGCATTTGATACACAAAACTTCAGGGCAGTGGCAGGTAGAGGGTATGATGAAAATGATGAAGGTCAGCAGTTTTTCTCAACATGTTTAATAAGGAGTGAAACCCAGCTCTGAGTTTAGTTTGTGGCCTTATCTACTGTTTTAATAAGCTGGAGCTAATGATGGCTCTCTTACTAGGATTGCACAGTCTTTCCTTCCAAAAGGGTGGCCTTGTCTCTTTGGTTCACTAAATTGGTTTACTCATGTCTGATGGAGCCTTCCATTGTCGCATCATAATATTTTAAGTTTCTCTTGGCCCAGAGCTTAGCACATAAATTGTACATATGAATTAGGTGCATTCCTTTCCCTGAGTTCCTTTCTCTACTGTAAGAGCCTTGTTTCAAGGATTAACTATTAAAATCATCACGTATGGTCATTAATCCTTACCTTTAGCTGAAACTCAGCCACACCCTCTGGCTTCTCAGGTTACTCACTGAGTTGGACTAGCCATAGACCTGTAGATGGGAAAGCCATTGAAAGCATATTTCTGCATGATCCTAGGACTTTATCAATATGAACTAGTTAAAGTTGAACCATTGGTAGAAACTTAAAACTATAATCTTTCATTTGCAGGGTGCCTCGGGTGAAGAAGGCGAAGCAGGAGAAAGGGGTGAACTTGTAAGATATTTTCCTTCATAATTTTGAAACCTTCGTAATTTTGATGCAGTAATACATATAGATTTTTTCCCCTGAAACTGTTGTCCTCACTACTTTCTTAAAGGCTAAGATGTTCTTTCTATGAGCTAACAAAAGATTCCAAAGATGATGGCCAAGATTAAGAAAAACTTAGCTGTAATTTATGGGAACCTGAAGTGTTTTTTATAGATGAGTAATTCTCTTGTGGATTTACATCTAGACATTCTGGGTGATCTTTTAGGACTGTAGAAAGTCCATGAACAATGCCTATCGTGGAAATAAAATCAAAGTTTTACTGAAGTTGGCTGTGGCTTACACATCTGACTGAGGACATTCTCTCTAGTCTGAAGTCCTCAAAAAACTGACCTGTGTTTCCAGAGGATGCCACTGCTAAGTCTTTAGGACGGCAAGGAAAGCAAGAACAAGCTCTCTTTACTGGGAGAGCTGTTGGCTCATCCTTGTGGTTTCGACACAAACTAACATAACCTCATCCACTGTGGAGACTTGTGTTTTGGTCCTTAGAGGTCAAGGTAATAAATTACTAATCAAATAGCTTTAGGGAGCTTTTAGTGCAGGAAAAATTCTGGTAACTTTTTTTTATAAAGATTCTCAGGATTTAGAGTTAATAGAAATATAACATCTGAATTAAGCAACATTTCCTATCGATTAAGTCATTTCAAAAGAGGGTCATTCCATTTTATTTTCTATTAAAGTTGCATATTTAATGGGCTAAGAGGATAGTTTACATCATTCTGTTTTTGAGTGGAGATTAACTGATGTATTAACACTTGAACTGAATTTCTATACAGAATTAGTAATGGGAGATTTTCAGTATTTTTTAAGCCTAAAAGCATTTATATTTGGTTTGACAGACTTTTTGAGATGAATTAAAAATACTGTTGCAGTTACAAACATGAACTTTTTTTAAAGAAAGATTTATTTTAAAGGCAGAGTTACATAGAGGTAGAGAGAGAGGTCTTCCATCAGCTGGTTCACTACTCAGATGGCCGCAATGGCCAGAGCTGTGCCCATCTGAAGCGAGAAGCCAGGAGCTTCTTCTGGGTCTCCCACGTGGGTACAGGGGTCCAAGGACTTGGACCATCTTCTATTGCTTTTCCAGGCCATAGCAGAGAGCTGGATAGGAAGTGGAGCAGCTGGGACTCAAACCGGTGCCCGTATGGGATGCCAGCACTCCAGGCAGTGGCTTTACCCGCTATGCCATAGCACAGGTCCCAAATGTGAACTTTTAATAGATGAGCTTAAATAATTTATTGTTTATGACAGAATGTTTTTGAATTGCTTTTGCTTTATGCATTTTAATTCTTAATGCCTAACATTTGAGACCTGGGTAGAACCTTGGTGAGCTCTGATTCAATCCTGTTGCTTAATAGAGAAGTTCGTCAAAGGCTGGGAAGGTATTTAGCTCATATAGGATCACAGAGCAAAGGAGCAGAACTGAGACTAGAGTCCACATTTTGAGTGCACTATTTTCTTTCTTTTTTTTTTTTTGGAGTGCCAGGGTTAATTTGTTCATAGTTTTCAATATTTGAGCAGCACAACAACCTTTTCAATGTTTTTCAGAAACTATCAAATGTGAATACATTGTTCTAATATAATTTTGCTTTATTGATCTAGGGAGATATAGGATTACCTGGCCCGAAGGGATCTGTAAGTATAATCAACACTAATGCTATACAAGTTTAAAATATCAATAATGCTGTGGAAAATGTCATGCTTTGCTTTATGAAATCATCCTATAAAAGTCAATTCTTAAAAGACCTGCCTTTAAGGAAATAAATGTCTAAATTTATCCCTTAGGTAATGGATTAATACAATAGGAAACAAACCTGTGTAAATAGATTTACCTTTTGAACTAACCACTCCAAAGGAAGTTTTTATTTCATATTAAAAATGGCCCAATGAGTATTACATGATAATTCTCTAATTTTGTCCCCAAATGGGTCATTTTTTTTAGTTAACTGATTTGTGTTTCGTGATGAAGTGAATGTAATTGAATTTTGTTGGCAGTTATACCCTTGCAAAATATGTCAGTAATCTCCCTAATATCTTGTGTGTCCCAGTAGGGGAAGTAAGATGGAGTCATAATGGGTAAAAAATGTGGTAGAGAACTATTAGAACTAGAAAGTGTTCATCTTGTTCAATTTCATCTTTTACAGAAACTAAAATGATAGCCTTAGAGATTAGATGTATTTAAGATTATAGAACCAATTAATAGGATACCTGAGATGATTTGGTACTTAGAAGGGAATGTGTATCAAATACAATTAGAAACTCAAAGCCTAAGGAGAAAAGATGGCACTCAGACAGACCTCAATCTCAAATGCCACAACCACCAGTTTTCAGTTGCTTTCCAGCTTCTATTTCTAGAACTTCTCCCACTCGTTAGTCTCTGCCAGATATCTATCCTCATGGGGACCAATGTAATAAGTAGAATTAGAATGCTCTAGTATCCCTGCTCTGCTTAAAACCCCTCAGGAATAATTTGGTATAGAACAAATTCAGATTCTCAGAAAGGTTTCCAGAGGCTTTAGGGAAATGTGCTTTGTTTCCCAGTCTCATCTCCTATGTTCTGGAACTGCACCCATTTCCAGTTCTTACAGCCTGTGCCCTTTAGTCTCCTAGTGTGTAACACTCTTCCTCTTTCCTTAGGATAGTGACCTTCTACTTAAGCATGATTAAAAAAAAAACTTATTCAATTTTTTGAATATTATATAGTACCTATACATTTTTATGGTGCACAGAGCAATATTTCAATACATAAACAGTGTGTAACCAATCAAACCAGGCATCTAGCCTTGCTAATTCCTTATCTTTTTTTTAAAAAAAGATTTTATTTATTTGAGAGGGAGAGTTATAAACAAAGCAGAGAGACAGAGAGAAAGGTCTTTCATCTGCTGGTTCACTCCCCAAATGGCCATAATGACTGGAGATGGGCTGATCCGAAAGCCAGGAACTTATTTCGGGTCTTCTACATGGGTGCAGGGGCCCAAGCGCTTGGGCCATCTTCTGCTTTCCCAGGCCATTGAAGAGAGCCGGATTGGAAGAGGAACAACCAGGACTAGAACCAGTGCTTATATGTGATGCTAGCTGCCGCAGGTGGAGGATTAACCTACTGTGCCACAGCATTGGTCTCTCCTTATCTTTTCTTATTGTTTGGAGCCTACCAGCTCCTCTCTTCCAGTTATTTATCCAGAATATAATATATTATTGTGAACTATACACACCCTTCTATGCTGCAGAACACTAGCCTTGCTAGTTTTGACTGTGTTTTGGTACCTATTATCAAGCTCCCGGAGTCTTCCTCCACTCATCCCTTCCCAGCTTCTAATACTCAGTGTTCTAAGTTTAAATGTACTTTTTTTTAAACTTCCACATTATGAAGAGAATGTATGGTAGTCTTCTTTCCATGTCTGACTTATTTCACTTAACATAATGACCTCTAATTCCATCCATTTTGCTGCAAATGGCAGGGGTTCATACTTTTTATGGCAGAACAATCTTCTATGTGTGTGTGTATGCACACATAGATTATACACAAATACGTTATATATACACACAAGTGCATATATACACACACACATACACACACACACAATTACTATCTCACATTCTCTTTATCCATTCATCCATTGATGGATACCCAGGTTGATTCCCTATCTTGGCTATTATAATGAGTTCTGCAGTGGACATGCAAGTATCTCATAGGCTGATTTCATTTCTTTTAATATATGCTCAAAAGTAGGGTAGCTGAATCATACAAAAGACCTATTAGTTTTTTGAGTAACTTCATACTCATCTCCATAATGGCTGCACTTATTTGCATTCCCACCAACATTATAGGAGGGTTACCATTTTCCCACATCCTTTGTAGCATTTGTTACTTTTCTTTAATCTTTTTAATAATAGCCCTTCTAACTGGAGATGAGAATCCACTGTGTTTTGATTTGCGTTTCCCTGATGGCTAGTGATATCAATATTTTTTTGTCACTTGTATTTCTTCTTTTAGGAAATATCCATTCAGATTCTTTGCCCATTGCTTAACTGAATTATTTTTTGTTTCTCTTTTTGAGTTTCTTATATATTCTGGATATTAATCCTTTGTCAGATAAATAGTTTGAAGATATTTTCTTCCATTGTGTCAGTTGTCTCTTCACTCTGTTTCCTTTTTTATTCTGAAATTTCTTAGTTTGATATAATCCTGCTTACCTAGTTTTGCTTCTATTGCCTGTGCTTTTGAGGTCTTATAAAAAATTGTTGCTATACCAATGTCTTGAAATGTTTTCCCTGTTTTATTAGGTAGTTTGAAAGTTTCAGGGTCTAAGTTTAGGTCTTTGATCCATCTTTTGATTTTTGTATAGGGTGAGAGGGAGGGGTCGTTTCATTCTTCGGCTGGATATTCATGCAGTTTTCCAGTACCATTTATGGAAGATGCTGTTATTTCTCCAATGTATATTTTTGGCACCACTGTCAAGAATCAGCCAATTGTATATGCATAGACTAATATTGAGATGTCTGCTCGCTCCATTGGTGTATGTGCTATTTTTCTGATGGTACCATCCTTTTTTAGTTATAATAGCTCAGTAGTATATATCTTGAAATCAGTAATTGTGATGCTCCTAGCTTTGTTCTTTTTGTCTGAGATTGCTTTGATTAATCAGGATCTTTTGTGTTTCTGTGTGAATTTTAAGATTTTTCCCCCTACTTCTATGAAGAATGCCATTGTGTTTAATCTGTAAAATTACTCTGGGTAGTATGAACATTTTAATAATATCAATTGTTCCAATCATTTAACATGAGAGATCTTTCCATTTTTTTGTCTTTATTATATAAATATTTCACAGTTTTTATTGTAGAGGTCTTTTACTCCTTAGTTAAATTTATTCCAAGGTATTTTTTGTCAGTTCTGTGAGTGGGATTGTCCTTTTAATTTCTTAGTAAATTCATTATTGTTGTATAAAATTGTTATTGATTTTTTTTGTGTGTGTTGATTTTGTTATACTGTAGCTTTACTGAATTCATATATCAATTTCAGAAGAATCTTGGTGGAGTATTTAGCATTCTCTATGTATAAAATCACAATAATAACAAGTGGGGATACTTTGACTTGGTTCTTTCCTATCTGTATACCTTTTCTTGCCTAAAGGCTCTAGTAAAACATGTAGTGCTATATTGCACAATAGTGATAAGAGTAAATATCCTTCCTTAGGTCCAGATATTCAAAAAAATGCTTTCAGTTTTTTTCCCCTTTCAATAGAATGTTGACTGTGGATTTGTTGGATAAACTGTTAATTTTTAGTTGAGGTATGCTCATGCACACCTAGGTTTTTTTATTTTTTTTAAATCATGAATGAATGTTGACTTTCATTAAATTTTTTCTACATTTTTGAGATGATCAGATGATTTTTATGCTCCATTCTATTGATGGAACATATTATGTTTATTGATTTGCATATGTTGAACCATCTTGCATCCTAGGGATAAGTCTGAATTGGTCATGATGGGTAATTTTTATGTGTTGTTGGATTTGATTTGCTAGTATTTTGTTGAGAATCTTTGCATCCATGTTGTATACTTCTTTTATTGTTGTATCTTTGTCATTCTATAAGGTAATTCTGTTAATGCATTCTACAAGGTAATAGTTCAAGATCATGGTGGCCTTATATAAGGCCATTTCAGTTTTTTGGAAGAATTTGAGAAGAATTGGTGTTAGTTTTATTTAAAAAAACTTTGTAGGGAATAGGCTTTTAACCTAGTGATTAATATGCCCATATCACATGTCAGAGTACCTGGGATCATTTCCAGCTCTGACTCATGACCCCCGTTGGCTATTGCAAAACCTCAGAGGTAGCAATGATGGCCCAAGTAGTTTGATTCCTTCAACCCATGTGGGACACCTGGATTGTGTACGCTGGATCATGGATTTGGCTCTGACCCAGCATTAGCCATTGTGTGCTTTAGGGAAATGAAATAGTGGATGGGAACTCTTTGTCTCTGTCTCTGCCACTTTAATTAAAGAAAAAGTTAAAATTTAAAAAAAAGTTAGATTTGTTAGAATTCATCAATGAAACTGTGTGGTCCTAGGCTTTTCTTGATCAAGAAACTTTTCATTACTGATTCAACCTCATTACTCCTTATTGGTGTGTTCAAGTTTTCAATCTAGTATTTAGGGTTCATTTTTTTTTGATAATTTATAATGTATCCAGGGGTTTATCCATTCCTTCTAGGTTTTCAACTTGCTGAAGCAGAGTTGCTTATAACCTTCCCTAATGCTGTTTTGTATTTCCATGGCATCAATTATAAAGGTTTTTTTTTATCTCTGATTTTTGTAAGTCTTTTTCTTAGTGTAGCTTGGGGTTTTTTGATTTTATCTTTTCAAAAAGTCAATTCTTTATTTCATTATTCTTTGATATTATTTTTAAAATTTGTATTTCACTTATCTTTATTCTAATCTCTATTACTTATTTCATTGTCCTAGTTTAGACTTTGGCTTGTTCTTTTTTTGTAGGTCCTTGAGATGCATAATTAGCGTGCCTATTTGATATCTTCCAATTTTTTTATTTAGTTTATTTCTGTAAACGTCCTTCTCAATATTGATTTTGCGGTATCTTATAAGTTTCAGAATGTTGTGTTTTCATTTTCTCTAGTTT